CAGCCAGTCTGACAGAGGATAATCCTGGACAGTGGCATTGGTGTGCTCAGCTGTGAGCACCCTTGTCTGCAGCTGCTTCTTGCAGCCAAGCCCAGGTGACCTCCCTGCTCTGTCCTCCTGAACTTGAGGCCATCACCTGCATGTCAGCATGTGGGCTCTTAGTACCTCAGTAGTGGTTACTGCACTTTGCCTGAGAGGGTGGCATGGGCATCTCAGGTACTGGGAAAGGGAGGGATGTGTTCCCTCTGAGTGGGAGAAATGAAACAACTATATGGAGCCCAGCAAAGGACCACTGAGATGGTGAAAGGTACTGGAGCATATCTGGGAGAGCTGGGACTGTTCATCTTGGAGAAAAGAAGGCTCAGAGAGTATAAATGCCTGAAAGGAGGGTGCAAAGAGAATGCACGGGTGACCAGTGACAGGGCCAGAGGCAATGGGCACAAACAGAAACACAGATTTCCTCAGAACATCAGGAAACCATTTTTACTGCAAGGGTGACTGAGCATGGAAACAGACTGGCCAGGCAAGTAGTTTGTGGGTTCTCCATCTTTGGAGAAAACACAACTGGACATGACCCTGGCAACCACCTCTAGGTGACTGTGCTTGTGCATGACCAGATGACCTTTGAAGGTTCTTTCCCACCTCAGCCATTCTGTGATTCAAAGTCCATTTAATGCCTGTCTCTACTCTATTGTTTAGAGAAGGAAAAACATAACTATCTTTCCTTAAATCTAAACTACTACCAAATTAGTTACTAACAAATTAGCAAATATTACCTATGTCTGGCCGCGCTGTTCCAAACAGGATTTGCATATCAACAACCAAAGTTCTGTTTTGTAGCACACAGGAAATAGGGCTACCATGTGTGGTTTTACAGGCTGTGTCCTTTCCAGCAGACCACATTGAGCACATGGGATGTTTTCAATTAGAAGATGCAACAGTAACAAAAAACTTGATCATTTTTTCAGGATGCATTGATGTGCTGAGTTCCTTCAGTGAGGACCTCTTACATAATATTGAAGAAGACAGAGATTTTTCTCTTCAAAATTTCATCTTGTGAATGTTGGCAGGAAATCTTTGCTCCTCAGAAATAAAAAAACCAACGTTCCTAGTTTGCCAGTAACCTGAAGTTTGGGGATTTGAGATTAACTTTGTGTGATCACATGTGACTTTTCATTGCGTTTTCCCAGTTGGGGATTTTCCCTTGTGACCAGTCTTCGGCCATGTCTGAAATTGTGTTTGCTGCAGGACACATTGTACTGTTCAGAAGAGAAAGAGATTGAGTTCAATTGAAATTGCTGCCAAGTAGGGACATTGAACTCAAACCAAAATAAAAACAAGGGAGCGAAGTCCTGGCAAAGTTTGTGCAAAGAGGGGATACCAAGAAAGAATTTTATCAGCATACAAACAAAACCTAAAAAACCAAACCAAAACAAAAAGCACCTGCAGTATAGAAATGAATATTCATCAGAACTGTATAAAGCCAAACCATCCCCCCATCCCAGTACTGTAATCCTGCCAGCAGCCATGGTTCAGATCCAGAAGCCACAAGGAACATAGAGTTGTTCCATCTATGAAGATTTGACTTCCATTTCTTGTTCTTTGGTTCAATTGCCAAATAATATTTATCTACCTCAAGTAGTTTTTTTCAAGGACTGCAGTAAATGCATAAGCACTTTGATATTAAGAGGATGGGGAAGAGTCACATTACTACTGAGATGGTACAGAAGATGTGTCAGGCCTTATGCAGATTGTCTCTCCAGTTATTTGTTCTTTAGGTATTAAATAATCTCAATTTATTAAAGGGTTTATCACCTTTATACTTACATTTTATCACAGGTCAGGGCTTCCTTCAGATGTGAAAACCCCTTTGCTAACACCCCTATTTTGTCCTGTCCCAAGAAAATTCTGTGGGGTTGCCACAAGTAATTAAGAAATTTTCACAAACAAACAATTTCACAACCTCCTTGCTACATCTTTGTCATCAGCACTAGTTTTGGCTGTGGTTTAGCTTTCCGAAGGCTGAGCCTTGTTTCTGACTCTGCTTGGTAAGTTAAGTTTGTCAGACTGACCAATATCTCTCATGGGCTTTGCTGTTTTTTTGATTAGAAGGATTTTATATAAAAAAAAGCTCCTGCTGGCTTTTGTTCAAGTTTTGTAGGAATGTTGCTCAACCATTTGAACATCTTTTCTACCAACTACATTGTAACACTTTCCAGTACTGCTCCATTATGTAAATAAGTGGTCGCTGATGTAGCTGAATAAACTGTGGTATCTTAACCCCACTAAAATAATTTCTATCAGCTTTTGGCTATTTCTTTTCCTTCTCTATATGTGTAATGAGGAACTTGGTTTACTGAGTTTTGACTGGACTCATTCACCTGCCTGTTCTGTGAATTGTCATAAAACTGACAGCTGTTGTATGGACATATCTTTTGCCAGGACAATTTCTTGGCCTGAGTGCTTGGCAGTGGCAGCCCAAAGGAAATGGTGTCTGGGCAGCAGAGGAATTGCGTGATTTTGTGCATCACTCCAAGGCTCCCTGTAGATTGTGGATTCTGAACTGAAAAGTAAACGGAAGATGCTCAAGACTTTTAACCGTCAAAGAAAATGGCACTTCCTGGGACCTCTGTCCCCGAAAGTGCAGTTTTACCACTTTTCCCCTGTTTGGACAATATTTTTGTCTGTGAAATGGCACTGGCACTGACGGTACAGCAAAGGTTTGAGTTGTTTCTCCTGGCAGCAGGGTAGAAACCTGTCCTGCTGAAGACCTTTGGCCAGGCTGACACTGTGTCCCTTCATAAAGCTGAGCATTAGCTTTTGTTTTGAGAGAGAACAAACTTCCTTCAGAGGAATACATTATTTTTTCTTTATCTTATGGCTCCTTCTAGAGAGTGGAACATAAATACTGACCTACTTCACAAATTGAAGTTTTCTGATCACCTTTAGTCCCAGAAGTGTTTTTGTTGCACTTGCTCCCTATCAGATTTGGTGCCTTTTCAAAGCCTTCTTTGTCTCATTGTCTAGATCAGTGCTTTTTTTGACTGCAGGAATACAGAGTTCTTGAGTCATCTTAGTTGCATTTCAAAATTATCTCCTGTAATCAGTCGCTGGCTCTGTCTGAATGTGCCCAGAATTACCTCTCTTAACAAAGCAAGAGATGGAAGCCTGAGACAAACAGGAAACACTGTGAGCTGAGCTAGGGAAGATGCAAAGCTGTGCACTGCCAGAGTGGAAACTGTCTATATTAAATTACTCTGGGTGGATGTTGACCAGCACTAGTTTTACATAAGTATGATCACATAAATGTCATGAGGTGGGGTGCTTTATTTTTGCAGGGAGGGTGAGAGGAACTTACAGATTAAATTGCTTCATAGCTGCCCTCCTCCACTGTTCCATCAAGATACTGTTCCCTGAAAGAGTAACTCCATGTTCACTCTCCACTCACCAAGTTCAGCACTGCTCAATGAAAACTGGTATTGCTTCAAGTACCATGCCTTTTAGAAAGGCTTTGTCATTACAAAACTACAAATTAGAGCTTGTACTGACAATTGAAATGGCTGGGACTGTCCCCCACCTAGTAAATTTGTTTACACTGAGGTTTGCAGGACTGAGTTATCAGGCTATAATGAAGGATATAGCAGAACTCCCTTTGAGTCCAGGCAATGCAAATTCAAAATCCCACCTGAGTCTTGTTTAACAGGAATGGGTGGCCCTGCTCACACCCTGTTCTGAGAAGAACGCAGAAGCTGGAGTGTGTGTTACTGCAAATGCCAACAGTTGGTGTTTGCAGTTTACTCCAAAATTGTGAGGTATGGGAGTGCTCCCATTCTAAGGCAAACAATAAACAATTTTTTACACCTTTCATCAATAGCAGGTTGATTTAGTTGGGTTTTTTTTAACAATGAATAAAGATGACCCAGAAATGAAACTAAAGACAAAATGCAGTTTACAAAATCGTTTGATACCTGTTACATTGACCTCCTAAAATTTTCATCCAAGACAAAAAGAGAAGTTGCAGTGGCCCCTGCATCATTGCAGTCAGTCCTGCTGTAATGATGATGGGCTGTGCCTTTCCATTAGGATGTAGAGAAATTACCAGCTCCACATGTGCTCTGTGGTGCTACATTTCTGTGCAAGATCCCTGAGTTTGATCCCAGACTTCCCAACTAGGCAACTTCACAAAATGAAGAAAAATGTGAAGCTATCAGAGTGAGGTCAGTGTGTTGGGCTGCACATGGACTGGAAAGGGTGGCAAGAGCAGCTGCTGTGCTTGTCCTTCCACTCCCATGAACCAGGTGTGCTTGCAAACTCTCAGTGTGTACTGCTTAGCAAGGACCTGTGCCACATTCATTTTCTGGTCATCTGTCACTGGATGCTATTTTTATTTTGCCCATGAAGTTTTAAAAGTGGAAGAGGAGACTGAGGGGAGACCTAATCAGAGTCTACAACTTCTTTGTGAGGGGAAGAGGAGAGGCAGGCACCGATCTCTTATCTGGGGTGACCTGTCACAGGGCCCAAAGGAATGGCCTGAGGTTGTGTAAGGGGAGGTTTAGTTTGGGTATCAGGAAAAGGTTCTTTACCCACAGGGTGGCTGAGCACTGGAACAGGCTCCCCAGGGAAGTGGTCACAGCACCAAGCCTGAGTTCAGGAAGTGTTTGGACAATGCTCTCAGGCACAGGGTGTGACTCTTGGGGTGTCCTGTGCAGGGCCAGGAGTTGAACTCCATGATCCTTGTGGGTCCCTTCTGACTCAGCATAATCTGTGAGTCTGTAAATGTATTCACTTACATGAAGGTGCAAGTCATTCTGGATTGCATTAGACAAATCCTCTCGCTGGCTTGCAGCCACATGCCATGTTTGCTGTCGTGGAATCAGGCTGAAATAAAGCATCAGCAGGACCATAATACCAAAGTGTGTGACACTCTGGACTTTGCCTCTAGTTGCTGTTCCTGTGGTTTAGTTCTTTTTAAATCACAAGTGCTCTTAAACCATAGCATGTTACTCTTTGACACTGTGACCAAACTTTAATTAAAGCAGTTTTCTTAATTTTGACTTCATTTTTAAGCTGAGACACAAAATTAAAAATACAGACATATTCAAATACACTAGTGCAGAATGTGGACTAAAATGTGTTAAATATATACAAATACAGTGCACAGTTTTTACTTTTATGAACTATTTAAATACCAGTCATTAAACTTTTCTTCTGTACTGCAGAGCTGAGAAGCAAATTGGTGTAAATACTAAATAATGCAAATGTTTTTATTAGCCTTGCAGCTATTGGGTTAAGAAATGTAGTTACTATATATACTTCCAGCCATGCTCTTGTTTTGGGTAACTGTATTTAACAGTTGAAACCACAGAAAATGTTAATATCAGATTTGCAGGAAATAAACCTCTGTACAAGCCTTGCTGTTGTTTTCTTTCACTGAAGTGCAAGAAGGAGTTAATTTTATAAATGAGGCAATAACTTGAATGGTGACCCAGCCTCTTCAGGAGGAGCTGTGACAGCTTGACTGGTCTCAGCACTGCTTATCATGGGAAATCTTTTCTCAGGGCTTCTCTGACAGTAAAGTCTTTATTTTTAAGGACATTGACTGAAAACAGCAGTTTTTTTTCTTAAACTCTTACTTAATAGGAGTTGTTTGACTGATGAAGAAATACCATCAGCCAGGAGGAAACTAAATTATGTAGAGCAGATGGAAGGAGCTCTCCTTTGTCCATCAGCAGTTTTTAGCTGCCAGTCACTGCAGAGAGCTCAAGAACATCTGTGTTACATTTGTGTTTAGACCCTTGGTCCTACCACACTGGTGTGAGCCACATGTGAAACAATGCAGCAACTTGGCTGAGTTCTGGAGGCAGCTGGTTAATAAACACAATCAGTTCAGGAGTAAAGGCATTACCTTGGTTAGTAATAGTTTTGGCTTTGCAGTAAATCTGAAATAATTAAGATAAAATTAGTCCCACCAGAATGTCTTAGTCTGAGCTGATTGTCTTCAGCACTGTTAGAAAGATGCAGCACTGTAGGTGGTGTTTCTTAAACTAGATCCAGTAAATCCCTGTGAAAAGCCCATTTTTCCCTCTACTGATTTAGAGTGACAAATTCAGTGAGTAATTCAAATGTCCACAGACAGGTAAGATGAATCCTGTCCTCTGTGTCTGGAAGTAAACAGATCCAGACAAAACACAAACCTCGCATCAGGAGGTAGATTCTCCTCTAAAACCTGTGCCCTGCCAGTGTTCCCTTCCCCTCTTAATCCATTCACAGTGATAAAACAATCCCCTTTAATCTCTCACAGAAAGAGCAAGCATGCAAGGTATACCTTAGCACATTGTTTCTTTTCATGCCTACAGTCATGCAACTATTTCTCTGCTGTCTCCAGACATGTCTGGGTGTGTTGTGTTGAAACCTCCTACTTCATGGTATTTTGACATAAATGGGATAATATTTAGCCCTGGCTCCATCAAGTAATGTGGAAGGCATTTGGCAGTGTTCCTGTATTCTTGCTATTTAAACATGAGGAAGCAGATCACTTCTGCATACCAGCACCAATTTATAGAAACTAAAGGCTGTGAGGAATCCTTCCCTTTAAACTAAGCAGGCTCTGCAAGACAGTTTCTGCATTCCCAGTTACATGTTTGAGCCTAATCACCCTCATGCAGAGAAGGAAGCCACCAACCTGTCAAATATAGGAGTTAAAAATTGTTTAAAACATTCCCACTTTCCTGAAGTCCTTCATGAAAGCTACTGAAAGTACACTCCTCTGCATTTCTCTGTGCTGAGTGTTTTAAATTATTCTAGGTAACTTTACAAAGTCTCAGGGCTTATTTTAATGCCTCTCAATTTTTCTTCCAATCCAAAGAACACAACCTTAGCGTGTCTTGAGGCAGCAACTGCATTTTCACAATGGGAGAGACTTGGCAGCAGACTTGGCACACAGGTGCCACTCTACCATCTCATTATGAGAACACCTGAACCTAATTTGTTTTTAACAGGCCTACGGCATCCTACTTCCCCTCAACAGCAGATTACTGTGTAATTAGAAGATTTGTGGTGACACTGTGTCAGCAGACACTAAATTCCTGGAGAAACAGATTTAAACTTCTGGGAGAACTCTTCCAGCATCTCCACTAGTTTCTCTTCATCCTCTGGTGGACTGTGGGTGTATGCTAGGGGTAAGTGTGTAGGGACTGGTTGTCTGTCTGGAAGAAAAAAAAAACAAACAAACAAAACATTATGGGTACATTTAACTCTCTTATAGCAGAAAGGAGGTTTTTCTGAGAGACTCTGTACTGTCCAAACATACCTCATGGTCTTGAAGCCAGGCAAATTAACTTTCTAGGTACCTGTAAATAATGCTAGTTAAGCATACCTTCTAAACCAAAAATTAAACCAATTCAAATTGTATTTTGGAGCTAGAGTGATTTTTCTGTAGCACAACGTGACCTGGAGTGTGCAGCAAGCCCCCATTTGCAGCTGAGGACAGTTAAGGAAAAGGAAGGCTTCTTTGTGGAATTATGCCTGTCACTAGTGCAGCATCTGCAGGCAAAGAGTAATAGCTGAAGTTTGTTGCTGCAGGCAGAGGATGATTTTGCACTTGAAACAACATTTTTCCTTGTCTCCAGGATAATGTTTCTAGTAATGTACAAATCCCCAGCTGGGACTTTGTAGTTAGGAGTATTTTCAGTCTTAAAATGCTTACCTTCATCCTTAGAAACAGTGGTTAAATTCTAAATGCAAAGGAATTTGGGTTTATTGCTCAGTCACCATAAGTGACATGTATCCAACCAAGTGTGCTCAGTTTGATGCTTTGCTTGGTTTTCCAAATCTCATGCCTGTCACTCACTCTGTAAATACAGCTGTTACCACTGTCCACTCTAAGGGATCTTCCCCTCCAAAAACATTGTGTCTAGAGCCTGGGAGCCTTATGACACTGCTGTCAGGTGTCTGTGGAACAACAGTCAGAGCACTGGTGCAGCACTGTTCAGTCTACTTAGCAAGCCCAACTTCCGCAGCAGCCAGCTGAGACAAAAAGAACAAGCTGTTGCAACCCTGAGCAGCAGATTTCCCTGAAAACCTACCAGGCTGCCACTGCCCCAGGAGAGCAGAGGTATTTGCTCTCTTAAGGGCAAATATTTACCTGACTGCACACACTACATAACTTCTGCTCATAGAAAACTGAGGACAGAGACAGGAATGTTTCCTTCTCCATCAGTGATTATAAGTGGCTTCCCACCTAGCTATAGTCCTTCCAGTAGCCTGTGCTAAAGTTTGGGAACTAGATATGAAAGCCAAGTTCAGCATCACACAGAAGATGCTTCTAGTCTTGGAAAGTAGGTCTCTGTTAAGCATTTTTTATATATTTTAGTAGATGCAGAGAACTCTGGTAGTAGTAGTCATGTTCTCACTTTCCTTTATTATTTTCTCAGGGAAAAAAAAAAAAAAAAAGCTAGCTTTGGTTTGCTCTCAGAGGGAACAGAAGAAGAGAATGCAGAAAATGGAGGGAAACTAGGGAAACTCTGACTGATTTGGAAAACGGCTGCCTAGATCAGAAGCGTGGGGTTTGTGGCAAAGTGCTCCCACACCCCAAACCCTTCACTGAAGGGGCCTGAAAAGTGCTAAGCTGTGGCTTCCAAAAGGTCGTAGGAGCAAGAAATAACTGATTTCACCACAATTTGATAAGCACAAGACACAGAACTTCTCTTGCAGCTTTAAGAGCAGTCATGCCAGGACCGAAGCTCTCAAAAGTCAGTAGCTTTAGCTAAAGAGAAAGGACATGTTCTCTATTTACCAAAGCTGGGAGTAGAAAAGGGCCAAAGGGAAGAGCCTGGTGGAATTACGAAAGAAACAGAAAGAACAGCCGAGCAGAAACATTAGGATGAGAGGAAAGGGATCGGAGTAAAAGAAAGGCAAAGCCTGGTTCTACAAAGAACCAGCTGACCAGCTGGGATGTGGGGTTTCCACATGCACCACATGCTGACATGATAAATGCGTGATTGTCTGTGGGACAGAAGGGACAAAGTCAACCCAAATGTGGAAAAGTCTGAACTTCCTGCATTCTCAGTATAGAAATTCAGTGAATCAGGATTTGAGTGCCTCATCCAACAGAAGCACAGAGCTTCTGTAAGAAATTACCCTGAGCTTTCTCTTTCTGGACTGAGGCATCCCTGCTTCCAGCTGCTCCTACAAAGATGCCTGTCATTTGCCTGGGAGAAAAGAAAGGCTCTGCCCTACTTTTCCATTCCCTAAGCTCACAGTGCCAAAAATGCCATTGTGCTTAAGTCTTTGCCCAGTGTTAGAGAAAGGCGGACTTGGCAGTTTTAGCTAGCATGGAACAATAGGAAGAAGAACCTGTCAAATTGTAGCCAACTCCCAGTGCTCTGTGAGAAAGATGCTCATTTCCTAGCCTCATAAAAGATGTTATTTGACTGCTGTGATTCACCTTCCCTTGGCATAGTCCTACATGCAGCCATTTTCATTACAAAAATCCCCAAGCCTCCTTAAAGAAATGCTTTGTAGTCTCTATCAGCTACTTTAGAGGACAAAAGCAGGAATATACCAATTTAACACAATGTTCACTCGAACATTTAGACTTGAAACAACTTTGAGGAATGCTTTATCCTTTGCACAAGCTGCCTGGTGCAGCCTTCATCCCCTTCCCGGCCAGACAGGGATCCTAAGCTCAGGCAGGCTGAGGATCTGCAGTCTTTGCAGTGAGACACTGCTCCTTACCTTGGAAGAACAAGCCACTGGGCAGCTTTGTTGCTTCAGCTGACACTGCCAGCCACAGGACGGTGTCAGCTCCCTGGGCCTCTGTGCGCAGTGAGTTCTTCATCCTCTCGTAGAAATCAGGCATGGATGACCTCACAGCTGGAAAGGGTAACAATGCAATGGTGGCCTGCCATGCAAGGCTTTTTTGACACAAAAAAACCCCAAAAAAAACCCAAACAAAAAAACTCCCAAAAAAACCCAGAACCAAAATCAAAACACCTTCAAATTGCCATTTTGTGTGTAGGAAGGAGAGGAGGCAACTCTGGAGCTTATGGAAGAAAATTAGTATTTCCCCCTATCTGGGAGTAGGATGGCTTGTGGGAGAATAGCACTAAGCCACAGATGATCCACCACTCATTTGTTTGGGTCAAATTACAGAGACAAAACTGACAACAAGATCTGTAAGAGGTTCCTCTGTCAATTCCATTCTAAACTGTAAGGATGACAAACATGAGACAAACAGAAACTCCAAAGAGCAGTATCGTAATGGGATTTTTAGCTCTTCTTTTCTCACCAGTTTTAGGAAACCAGTTGCAGCACTGTATTTAAAAATTGCTTACTTCCTGTCTAAACTCTGGTTTCATTTTATTTTGTCCAACAGATGGTGACTGTGGGCCCAACCAATGTAGGTGTTTATTTCTGGGGGTTGGAAAGTCTTTGAACTTTAAGGCGGGATAATTCTATGGTTCATTAAGTTTGAAATCTGCAAAGGAAGTGCAAAAATAAATGTATTTTAAAGAAAAAGAAATACCAGGATATTTATTTGGAAAGGACTACTTTCAAGCATAAAGTAGGCAGGGTAAATGGAAACTGCATCCCTATAAAAGACCTAGAGATTTAACTGCTATTCTGCATCCCAAGCTTGGGCACTGGGGGCTGGAAACACTGGGGAATGCAACATGCATAGTGCATGACTGATGCTGGCCCAGCTGCTCAGGCACAGTCACTGAAGAACATCTGCAGCTCAGACAAAGGGCTGAATGGCTAAACTGCTTCTCAACAGCAGTAAATGTTTAGAGGAAGAGCAGAGGGCTTCCACAGTGCTGCATTCTCCTACATGCCCTCACAAATTCCCAAGTGTCTGCATATTGGTACTGACAGAGGCAGAAGCTCCATCTGTGTTTAACAGTTCCACTACAAATGTAACTTAAAAGTTACCTTGAAGAACTATGTCTCTGCTGTGCATTTGTGCAGGGCTGGAAGTATTCACTGCCCATTATTATTCTCTAGCTATATACAGCTAGCAGACACTGTGCAGAATAGAGCCACCAAGGGGATATAAAACTACTTCAAGCACCAGTTTGGAGAAAAGAAATTACTGTACCCGTTGGAAAAATATACTAGGAAGTTTCATTTCTCTTTGCTTTTAAACTAATCCTGAAAAGAAAAAATTATTGTCAGAGTGTGAAGCAGATGTTACCTGGAGTGTCTGCCCAGCCAGGGTGCATCACAGAGAAATGGATATTTCTGTAAGTCTTTGCCCACTGTTCTGTCAGGACAACTTGCTGTCTCTAGGATAGAGCAGTAAGAGCCATGTTAGCACCACGTTCAACAGCTTGTCCACCAAATTAGTTCTCAGGGGAATAAACTCCATCAAATGTGCCATAAATACTAGAGCATTTATGTACAGCACAAATATACCCTTGCTCACCCTGGCTGGATTTATTGGATAATTTCATCAGAGACTTCCACAGTCATTGCAGCTGCACTGTTTTTACTGACCATGTCTACTTGCTGTAGACTGTGGGCAAGAACTAAGCAGGCAGACAGGGTTCATCAGCTAAAGACACAGCAAAGTGTTCCCCCTTGGGACTTCTCTCATGTCAAATCAAAGTCTAGCCATGCTCTCCTTCATGCAAGATGTACGCACTCCTAAGGGCATGCCATCATACTCCTGAAGATTATTGCCTGTGCATCTGCATGCACAGGCATGCAGGGTTGGATGCAATGGGAAAGCAACAATGACCAACAGGCTTTTTGCAAACAGATGGTATGAGCTGCCTAGCAAGGAAGGGCTGGGCTTTGTTTTCAGTCCCATGGGCTGTACCTTGTTCTGTGCATACACCATAGTTCCATCAAATGGCCCATTTCCCGACTGCAAGTCAGATACATTTAATTTTTGAACTAGCATGCCCCCAGAAGAGACAGTTATCTGTAATGAAATGAAAGAAAAGCAAATGAATGAAAAGCAAAACCAGGAACTCCCCACAGATGCACTCATGCATGCAATGTAGTCTTCAGGCCATAGCTGGAAGTCCCTATGGAGCAGCATTACTCTGCATACTCTTTGCATTATGCTTACGCTCATGAGTAGAGCATACCTGGAGGTGAGATAGAAGATACATAAAGTTTTTAAGAAGCGATTTTCATTCAAAGTGATGTTGATTCATTTCAGGAATTTTGTGCTTCTTCCTTTTGAAAAGTAATGGGGAGAAAGAAAATAGCAGAATAGCACTATTTGTAGTTTGTATGTTTAGCATTTACTGAAGCTAATTAGAAGCCATACAAAACTTGGAAATTTTAATTTTTAAAAATGTTCCTGCTATCTTACTTTACACCAAGATCTGTGAAGTTCTTTTAAGCCTATACTCCTTTTGTGCATATTTTGCACTCTGCTGCAGGAGCTAACTTGCCCTAGGGAATCAAAGAGGGTAAGTTCCCAAATGAATGTTTTACTCTGATTTCCAATGAAGAGTTGAGAGCAGCAGGAAGGAGCTTTGCCTTAGAGAAGGAGATTGTTGTTAGCAAAATCCAAGAGGATTTTAAAGATCTTTACAGCATTTTAAGTAATCCTGCATTGCTAAAACAGTCACAGAACTGCTGTCACAAGCCAGAGGGTAAAAATAATAAAACACTCCTTTGAAACAGCATCATAGACTCACCACTCTGGCATCAGCTGCTTTTTCCAGGAGGGGCACCAGGGCAGTTGTCATGATATATGTACCTAAAAGACAGACAGGCACGAACATTAACTTTTCCTTTTAAAAAAAGCTTTCTTCTCTCTCCACCCTCCTTAACAACCCAAAACCCAAAGTCTCTTTATCTCTGAAATCTGATCTGAATTTGACAATGTTTTTTTGTTGCTGCTTCACCTTCAGTGTGCCAACTCAACTTGTAGTGGTTCACATTACCATAAAGTTAGCCAAAGGCATATATTATTTATTATTTATTTAGGTTTGTTTTACCTATAGAGAAAACAGCTCCCTACATTCATCTGTGAGAATCTGAAGGCAAAATTCCTTGGGTGGGGGAAGGTGATAACAGTGAAGAAATGGGGAGTGCATTTCCCCTGCAAGTCTGGCATATACACACAGATCTAAGCTGGGTCATTAACAAGAGAAGGAAACTGCACTTCCCACTTACAGGTCTTAGGGCACTGCATATGCACTTAAGACTTGCCCATTTGTCCCTTCTCACTGTGAAATCACTCAGAGTACACTGACACTTTCTGTGTTGCACAAAAAACCCACCCCTTAAATCCCCAGCATGACCATTATGGAAGATAAGGAATCCTTGGGGGTAAAAATATACATGTTGCCTGACCAAGGCTGAGCTAAGATTACTTTTGGAAACTTATTTGTGTCCTTCCCTGCTTTTAATAGTGTTCATTTAACAAGGATTTTTACACACCACACAAATATATTCCATTACCATGATCATCAAGTCTGTTATTACACTGTTCAACTGTCAGTGTGTTTGATTCAGACACAGAGACACACCTAGCGATGTTTCAGGCAACCATGTGCAACACAGAGAATTTTTTTTCTGTTTAAAATGTATTTTTAAAAAATTCCATGTAATTGAAAATGAGTCTAGCCCCATTCAGTCTAGTGTTTCTGCATCTACTTCCCTCTCACGTCTTTACAAATGGCTCTAGTTCAACAATTCTATCAGTGATAAACACATTTTTTTCCTTGAGCTACTGAGGCCATGTTTTTCACTAGGCATGAAGACTGAAGTATGTCTTAATAACCTCTCTTCCACAGAGGCAATGAGATCATCCAGTTAAAATACAGCATGTTTATAAATATGGTACCAAAATCAAACAAGTTACATGTCTGGTGAACAAACTGTTCAGTTCCCCTGTCAGTTACAGCAGCCTTCACTTTCTCTGTATAATCAGAGGTATGTCCATACACACACAATATATTTAAAACCCTGGCAAATCAAACTAAGCAAATGCATTGCAGATGAGTAAATGCAGCCTGTCTTCACAGAAAATGTGAGCAAAGGCAATTGCCAGTGAATGACGAGAGCCCGGTCGTGTTCCCTGGTATTGGCGGGGAGGCTGAGCGATGACATCATCGGCACAAGAACTCCCGCGGACTGTCAGGGGAGCTGCCGCGATGTGGGGGGATAAAAAAATTTACAAAAAAAAAAATCACTTCAGTACAAGCTGAGAGCCTGGGTTTAATGCTGTTTGTCTGTGGGTTCTTAAAAAAGTAACACCATGTCTTGTTTAAATAGCTGCATCTCCTAAAGGTAGAGCTGCAATGCACCAGCTCTGACGATGCTCCATTTTACTGTCCTGCAAATTAATTTGCACTTTTAAGAGTTGATTTGTTAATTCTAAAGAGCTGCAAAGATGAATGCACTAATGTTGCCTCATAAACAACAGAGTTTTGTTTTGTTTTCCAGCTGAGTAAGAGAAATGTCCAATGCCAAAAATCCTGCTTAGAGCAACTACAGCTTGTGAGAAGTTTACATGCTTATTTAGAACCACAAACTAATTTAAAAGCCCAAATTTCCTCTCTACCTCAAGTTTATTAAGAACTCACAAAATCTCACAAAGCCAGAGCATTCCATGTTTTTGCCCCACAAAACCACTAGCTCATTTGCTTTGAGATAGCACAAAGCAGTTTTGATCATAGCTTCCTATGGTAAGCAACAGTATCTGAAAACACACACAGACATAATGCACCAGGCATTAAGGCTGCAGCATTTAATTTCTCCCACTACTAAATATTTCACCAACTACTGCCCCCATTTTAAGTGTTTGAACACAAACTCCTCATTCCTTTGACAAAAATACTTGGATATTACACATTCTTATTTGCCTGGGTTGGTCTGTCAGATAAAAAAGCCTGGAAAAGAAATTTAGAACAGTAATAGCAGAACAGATATACTTTATCAACAAGGTTTGTTGCTGGTTAGAATATATCATCATTAACTGAGACCTCCCCATTTTTATCAGTGCAAAAGCTGGCATGTAGTTTGATGGTGACATTCCAACAGCTTGGGAGAATGCTCAGTATGGTCAGTGCAGGCCTGGCACAGCCGTGTACCTCACGGCAGGTACTTTGTCCAGCACAGCTGTATCGCAGCAGGCACTAACACAGAAGTTAATTTCTGAGTAAAAGGGGAAGTAGCAAACAAAGGCATTGCCTGCCACCATCCTTGTGAAAAAAAAACAAAAAAAAAAAAAAACAAAACAAAAAAACCTAAAAAAAAAAAAAAACAGAAGGAAACTTTTCTTGTTAAAAAAAACTTTGCAAGGAAAACCAAGTCTGATTTGGTAGAAGAAACTACATTAATCTCTGCCCCTATGAAAGGAAATCAAGGCAACATCCAAACTGCATGTTCTTTTGCCAATACTAGATTATTAATACCAATGTACTGGATATCAACCTTTCCAAAACAAGCACTTGAGCATTCTAACACATTTACTTGATGCAAAAAAATTTTTGTCTTTTAAAGGAAAAACTTCCTCCCACAGAGCTTAGTTTAAAAAGGTAATGCATATCAAATGTGGTTAATGCTTGATTATCACTGTCTTCGAACTGTACAGGTTGAGTTGTCTTGTTGAGGTTTTTTAATGGTTTAACACAAAGGTACATGAAAGGAAAAGGCAACATTCAATAGTCCTGTGCCTTGCACTGAAAGCAGTAATTATTTGGTATCTGCTGAACATACAGCTGGTACTACCTGCATTTAGGACTGTGTGACAGGGCCCAGATTCGTGCATCACCATTTCCTGTCACTGGAAGGTACATTGTCCACATGGCCTGAATGTTTGTCTCACACTGGTGTAACCGGGGAAAAAAATCAGTGAAATAAATGGCATACAACACTTCCCTTTGATGAGAAGTATTTACTGTGACACACAGGAGTCCAGGACGATGAATTTGGGAGTTTTCTCAGAAGCAACAGGAATGCAGAAGAAGGTGAGCCCAGTCTACCACACCCATATAAAGGATTTAATCTTGCCCTCACTGAACTTTGCCAAGGTGAAGAGCTGACTTGCAAAACCTACTGGACAAGCTACAGCCCTGTTCTTGAAGTTCGACACAGTACTAGCTGGCCATGTTTTCTCCAGTTAAAAATGCTCCTGGGATAGATGTACAATTTATTTTAAAGATAAACAGTCTCTTACCATTAGCTTTCTTTGGAAAAAACTTCTGTAGGCTTTACATCTTGGAGCTGATCTCCCATAATAGGAAATCATGTATAATACAGAGTAATTAAAACTTTTCTAAGAGCAACACCATTACACACCATAAACCAACTTTATCATATGGTAAAGTAGATAGGGTGGGTTGCCAGTCTATGCATTAGATATGCACACACCACTAAAATGAGAACATACTTTGTTCATGAACATAATATGTTTCATGTTTACTTAAAAATATAAAAACAAAAATAATGAATCACCATGCATTCCCTTGTGGCCTGTCTGGTAACTGTTCCACCTGGTCTGAGATCCTCTCAATTCAGTCAAGTAATCTGATACTGTGCTCTAACTAACAAATCAAATTTTTTACTCCATACAGTGAACTCCTCTGCCAACCTGGAAAAGCACTAATTCAGTGTTTCACAATCACAGAGTGAAATATTAATGACGTATGTGTAGAAAATGAGGCACCATTGTGGCGATAAACATTTGATTCTATAGTAAGTTGTTTTGGGCTTTTAAAAAAAGCCCAAAAACAAGCCCAAAAACTACAAAATTCAGCCTGACTGCCTCATAAACTCCTAAAGTTATGCTGCTTTTCCCATGACATGATGCAGAAGCTATAGGGACTCTACGGAAGACACTATTATTTGGTCTTGTGGAAAGGTAGCTCTGCATGTTCTTGCAACAGTTATTCCACTGTGGGTCTCATGACATGACAAAATTAAAACTATCCTAGTGCACAGGACAGCAGTCTCCCAGGGTATTAGACACCGATCTTACAAAAAACTGCAAGTCTTGCTGTACCGAAACATGAAAGTAAACAAAACACAGGATAGCCCTAACAGAAAATATAAACAAACACTGTGCATTGCTGGTGGTTTAGATCAGTTTGCCAGAACCTGGAAAACTCCTTAGGATTCACATAGTTCAGACTGAAAATTAATAGGACATGACATAAAATAAAAGTACACAAACATATACTCTGATTTGCTTTAAGATTTAATGTGATCCTAAAATCTGTGCTTTATAAATCAACTTTGAAGAAAATTATGGTTTCAGCAGAAATAACATTGTAAACCCACTGCCTGCTTATAACATCAAATTAATTGATGATACAATTACTGTGGACCCAAGTGTCTTGGTGGATTCCATAATGTTTTTGCTTGATGTTCTATTTGGCAATTAGTGGCACATTACTGGTGAGGTTTTTGCCGTGCTAACATTCAGATAAGGGCAGGCAGCCAGCACCATACTAAGTGAAGTGTTTCATCTGCCTGAGCTTTGCAGCATTATTAGGAACAGTGTTATTTTAGCTGTGAAAAAAGTGGGAACAAAAAAAACCCTAAACAAACAAACAAAAACACCCAACACCACCAAAAAAATTTTATTGTACAGATTTCAATTACTCATTCATCTGGTAGAAATCAGTTAAACTGGCTTGCTTTTCTTGAGTGCAAGTAAAAACAAACCACAGAAACAAACAAAAAAAACCCACCCAACCAATAAAGTTCCATTCTTCATTGGCCTGATCATCTTTTCCCGCAGCTTATGCAGTTCCCAGTAAGAGACATCCCTGCGTCTCTTCCTGAGTAAGAGATCAGGAATGAAGATTGCAGTGTGCTGTCTCCAAGGGCCAATTCCACTGCACTAGCAATAACTGAGAGTGTATGGGAAGAGCTAATGAACATGAAACACAAAATACAGGTTTACATTTCCCTCAAATGACAAAGCTCATCTCAATAAGGGTTCCTCTGTCTCCTGGGAACCAGGCTTCAGTACAGTTACTGCATGTGCAATCATATTCAACCTTATCCTTTCACATACCACCTCCGATCCATAAGTCTCAAAGCTCTTTAGAAAGAAAACAGGAACCACAGCCTCTTTTTCACAGATGAGATTGTCTTGCCAAAGATCAGGCATTGAACTTACAGCAGACAGCTGATATTCAAGTTGTTTGACTTCCAAGTGATTCAGAAGACCAGGCTGCACTGGATTCTGTTAATACCAGTTAAATACAGTTAGATACAGTTAAATTCTGTTAGTACCAGTTAAATTCATGGGTAGGGAAAAGACTGACAAACATACACCCAGGTTAGGCAGTTTGCCTTAGATGGGCTATCGTGTTACTATGACAGACAAACATCTTATTTCCTCTGGCTGTAACCCTTCCTGCACAGTGTGGAAGTATATGTCTATATATTATTAAAACATGAGAGCACATTAGATTGAGGAAAAGATGCATACTGGAAGCATCATTTATCTCTGAGTGTGTTTTAGCATCCCCTTGCCTGGTAAGTATCAATAAAAAAGTAACATACATGCCATTTTTCCATGTCAAGCAGGAAGATATGTTGAATAAAAGCAAAATGAAGCAGGCAATAAAACAGAGGAAAAAGGATTGTTTCAGCTAAACGTCTACTGCCTCAATAAGAACATGCTGCTTTTGCCCCCACATGCTTATAAATGCTGAAGGTTTTTTCCAAATGACTGAATACCACCAGTATTAACTCCCAGCTTTGCTGGGAGTTATACTAAAACAAGTAAAACAAAATTAATTAAAAAAAAGTTTTGACTCAGCAGTTTACAAGATTCATCAGAAAAAATGATTGCTTGTTGCTGCCCAGCTGCTGGGTACAACCCTGAGTACATGGTCAGCCCACAGGAAGAAATATCACAACATCACAAACTAGAGGACAGAGAGAAAAAATCTGCCCATTGGGATTGGCAAGTCTGCAGGAAATCTGCCCACATTACGCCAAGCGAGTCACTCAATTTGGTTTATTTGAAAGTGTGTTTCAATCAGCAAAATGCTATTTCAGACTTGTGCCTGGCCAGTGCTCCCACATTACAGTCTAAGTGTTCCATTTTCCTCTCTACATTCACTGAGCTCCAGCAATCAGACAACAATTCTTGAGCCTCTAGCGGGGAAAAAAGGCAAGGTGTTTCATTTGACAGCAACAACAGAACCACAACGAGCCATGCAGCATTTGTGCCTCAGACTCATTGTAAAGGTACCACAGGCACCAGGACAGATGCAGATACCACCACCTGCTCAAAGCACTTTACTGTTTGAACTTGAATATTAAACAAATCATACACAACCTGCATTTTACATTTTTATGAACTTCATCCATCTGCATATCCTGACAGCACCAGAGAGAACTATGCACCTCTTGTTTCAGTTCCCATCCTCAATTAGCCAGTCAGCTGTGTTTTACATTAAGGGAATTTTATTTTCTATTCTAAATGCTGTTATTTTTGTACATATTCATACAAGAGGACTTATGCAGTCATTTTTGTCTCATGTAGTCCAAAAAAAGATCAGAATATAAAGTATGTTTCACAAGTCAGATCATCACTTAGAACTGAACACTGACATCCATTATGCTCAAAAATGGACTAACAGATCAGTCAAGAGAAAAACGTTCCTAGACTAGATTTAAAAGCTCCACAGCATTTCAGACACCTAAATGAGCAACTTTACAGCTCATAGAAATGTTAATCAGATATCAGATACAGAATTCAAAAACTGTGACGTGTGCATTTAAAGCATGTTATATTTCAGTCTTGCATTTTTAGATAGTTACAACCTACACGTTCCTTTACTAGACCAGAGATACAAGGTAGGGAAAAAAAAAAAGTGAAAGCAACATGGAAGGAACACCCTACATGTAAAGATCTACAAAAAATACTGATATTACTCTATCTTATTAGTCAAGCGAGGGACAACTACACATTTTCCAAACAAGGGCCTTGAGTCCATGTCACCCTTCAGGCTTTAGCATTACTGGGGCAGAGAGGAGAATTTAGTTTGTTCTTTCAAACCATATTCGAATTTACAGCCAACCTATATACCAGCTATATCTAATTTAGCCAAGTTTTTCTCTGGGAACCTATAATCACAGACAGTTACTGAAACAAATTAACTTCTTCCAAGAGAAACACAGCCAAAGGCACCTAGTACTTAGGGAAATAACAGAGCATCTACACTGACAGGTCTTTCTCCACACAGTTTTCTCCTACTGTGGCTCCAGATATTATGCTTTATTACCCCACTCCCCTGACTTTGAAGAAAAAAACTGTAGTTTGTAGCCTTGGTCCTTCATGTGTATCTGGCCTGCAAGCACAGGAGCTTCCTGTTGCACTGCCAGCTTTTTACAGCTCAACCAAGTCCCACTTTGTTCTAAGAGATTCAAAGTTTAATCCTTATTTTTGTCTAGAGAGAAGCAATCTAAGCAAACAACCCAGTCCTTGTCTGAACTCTGAAGAAGTTGGACAACAGAGGATGATTTACCTCCTTAAACTTCTTATAAAATCATGCAGCAAGTGATACATGAATGAATAATGGAGATCTATAAGTAACACCCACAGAAGATAATACAGGCATTTTCCTAGTTTGCTACAACTATAATTCAGCTTCCTCTGTGCAGCTGTGTACCACTACTAAGGCTGATTTACAGGTGGAAAAGCAGAATTTGCTGCTTCTGCTTGTGTGATACAAAATAATTCAAGTGATGCACTAGAACAGCTCCTCAGCACTTAATATCCTCAATGTCTAAAAGTAAACCAAAACATGCTTTTGTATTCAGACTGTTGTGTTTTTTCACTCTGCTTCTCTCTTTCCACATTGCTGGGTTTTTGTCTGAAAGACCACAAGAGGATAAAAACTAATTTAAGGTGAATAGATCCCTCAAGATAGAAGTTCTGGTACTTATGCAGCCAAGGAAAATTTGATGGCAATATAATACTCTTCTTGAATTTTTTGACCATAAGAAACAGAAGAATGTTAACAGAAGATTAGTGTGAAGCAAATGAATCTCTGCCTTTATACTTGATTTAATTGTCAGTTTAATGTATTCAGACTTGCAGAAAAAAATGAGCTGTGTGCACAACAACAATGAAGCACAAGACATTTATACTAAAATGTTAGTTTTCAAACATAAATAAGATATAAGGAACCAACACAGGAAAAAGGCTAAGAATAAAAACCAACAATGGTTTCCAGATTATACTAGTTCTGTAAATGCTGTATTTTTACAGACTAGGTTTTCCCCATCCCCATTCCAGATAATGATGAACAGGAGGAAAACACAGAAACAAAGCACCACAGTTCTTCTTAAATGTATCACTTTGGAATATATTAAAGAGAGTCTCTTGAGGAATCCACCTACCCTGTACAGAGGCAGAGGGAGAAGAGTGTCAGGACTGTTGGGTTGATGCAAGCACCATGTGTCTGTTTACAAGAGGTGCAGCTTTCAGCCTTACAGATAGCAGCAGTGTCAGATAGCTCTTCTCTCTGCTGGCTGGCTTTTGCTCACCTCTCTTCCATAGCTTCTGTAGGGAAACTTTCCACTAGGCTCACCATTTTCCCTGCCCTTCCACATCTCCACTTTCTCTCTTGACTTGCTTCCCATCACTTGTCCCTTGTACCCCCACAGCCACACAGTTCACACACAATGCCCCTTTCACGTGGAGTACCCAAGACTTGCCCAGTACTGCTCAATCCCTTGCCTGGAGATTGCACCTGCTCAAGAGTGTCCAGGGCACTGCATACAGCACATCACCTCTGTCACACAGAACAGGGCTATGCAAGCCCACTCAAACATCTGAATGTCTCTTAAAACATCTGAACGTGTTTCAAGCTCCATCCTAACCCCAGAAACACAATTATTACAAAGAGCATTATTGGCAGCAATCCTCAGAACAAAGTTTCCTAGCAAATTTCAGAATCAACCTACCATTTTCCACTTCTGCTATGATAAATCAAGATGCTGATATCAGAACAACCGAAAAAATGAGAAATTAAAAAATTACACTCCAAACAAGCTCTAATATTTCTTCTTTTCCTTCCTGGTTCCTTCCCTGGCATAGCAATGCTATGATCCCACTTCGAACAGGAATATGTACCTCACTAACTCAGCTATAAAAACACACTTCTGTAAGCAAAAAAAGTATGTTCCAGAAGAAAACTTTCAATACTCACCCAAAGTGTTTGTTGCAAAGTTCTTTTCAAGTCCATCTTCAGTTAACTCTCTGTTATTCACCATACATCCCGCATTGTTGATCTGCAAAACAACTCCTTTAAACAAAAACATTCAACACAAATATCTACAAGGAAATCCACACATATGAGCAGTCCACGTTAATTTGCTGTTTTCTGACACTGCAAAACAAAGCTACATACTGTAGCTTTTATTTGTTCAATAAAACATTATTGCAAGCTGTGTGCAGCTAGCACAGTCTCTGACACATTTCTTTTTCTGCCTTACCTTCCAGAAGGAGCTCAGACTTTTCTTTCCCATCTCAAAAAAGATCTGCCCCTACACACCTTCCTGCATGTCCACTGCCACTCCTCAAAAGTTATTTCCCCATTTTTATCACATGGTCCTCATCTAGTAAGCACCAAAGGAGCTGCTCCAGGTGCCTCAGCTGTGGTACAGCCCCCTGACTGGTAAATAAAGGGGCAACTGCACTGAGCCCCGTGCCAATCACAATGATTAACTGTTTCATCTCTCCATGGCTCTGTTTTAGTCTTTGGACTTTTTGCAAAGTTTAACCTTTCAGAAGGTCTAGCTTTAAGAGGGGCAATGTTATTAGCAATAAAAGTAAAAGAGAAAATGTATGGTGTCTCCAAAGATGCAGCTACAAAATTATTGCTTTTCCCTTTTTTTGTAGCACATGTATGTTAACTGAGAAGGGACAAGAGCAAGCAAACCATGGAGACTCCTGAAAAAAAAAACATTTAGAGAAAATTAAGGAGAAAATTGTGGGCCAAACTGTCAAGTCTACGTGACCTCTCAGACAAATTCATTGGCTATACACTCCCAAGACAGACACACATGATTAAAGTACATGAACTTACCAACACATTTAATTTATGTTCATTTTGGAATTTTTCAGCAAATTTCCATATTTCCTTGGGATTAGATATATCCACAATGTGCAAGAAGATGTTCTAAAGGGAAAGAAACTAAGACACAATCAACAGAGAAAGTGAACAGAAATCCTGTTTAGGCCTGTCTAGGTGAAAAGGTATTTAAGTAGTATGAAAAAAATAGTGTCTCCAGAAGACAACTAATACATGTTTAACATGCACAAGTCTAGTCCTTAAAATATGTTTTGTCATTATTCAGCTGTTTTGAGACACAGATTTTTAATGCCAAAATTATTAAGAGAGAGTCCTACTTAGATAAGTATATGTGACAGACAGTCAGATACAGCAGAGAACTAGAAAAACATTGCAAAGCCTGCAAAATTTCAGGTTAAACAATTTAGCAGCTTTCTCTTTGGCTGAACTTTCCAAGGAAATTGTCAAGGTCACAGCATTAGAGAATAATCTAGGGTGGAAGAGACCTCTGGAGGCTGATTGGTAAACTTGGAGATTCACGAGTCTGTCTGAGCCCCCTGCTCTGAGCCTCCAGCCTTTGAACACACTCATGGTGAAAACATTTTTCCTACTGTCTACTCAGAATTTTGTCCCTGTTCCAATCTGTGTCAGCTGCCTCTTGTCTTCCCACTGAAGACCTCCAAGAGAAGCATGGTAGTGCCTTCCCTACATACTCCCATCACATGGCTGTAGAATACAGCAAGACCCATCTGAGCCTTCTCAGAGCCACTTCATACATCACACGTCTCATCTCCCTAGCCACTCTCTGCTGGACTCACTCCAGGACATTGAGGACTTCCTCATCCTGGGGAGTCCAAAGTCAGGCACAGGACTCCTGCTGCGGTTTCACAAAGGCTTAATTGATGCACTTCCCTCAGCCTGCTGGCTAGACTCATGTTCATACAGCCTGGGGTACATTTGGCCTCCCTTGCCCTAGAACACTGCTCACAGAGGGACAACTTGTCATTCCAGGTCTCTTTCTGCCATCAGCTTTCCATCCAGCTAAGCAAAGACTGCACTTCATTCTGTCACCTGCGCTCTTAAAAAGATGTCATCAGGTTTTGCCCTTGTATTGATTCATGAGGGATGCCACTAAAAATCATTAGCAGATCAGCTCTGTACTGTTGATTGTTACTTTCTAAGCCACATGTTCCAGACAGTTTTCTACCCACCTTTTCATCCACCAGTTCAAACCACATCCCTCCAAACTGGCTACAAGGATAAGGCAAACCATGTAAAAAGCCTTGTCAAAGTTAAGGAGAGCACTGCTCACCTCTTTCCACAGACGGAGTATTCTCACCAAAGGGATCAGGGAGAGAATCAGAAGGGTAATAGAGAACTCGTGGGTTAAGATAAAGGTAGATTAATAGTGATAGCAAAAGCCACACACAAAAGCAAAAAAATGCAAGCCTATGAGCATACCACTCATATGTGAGAACACCCAATCTTGTCTGATCTCAGAAACTAATCAAGGTTGGGCCTGGTTAGTACTTGGATGGGAAACTGCCTTGGAATACCAGGCATTTTAGGCTTTTTACAAGGAATTAACTGACTGCCTCTCATGGGCAGGCAGGTGTTCAGCCACCTCCAGGAGAGCAAGGCTCTATCACACATAATAATCACTTGGGAAGCCACCAGCACAAACATCTCCTCATTCCTTTTTCTTTCCCCCAACTTCGCATACTGAGCATGATGTCACATGGTCTGAAATATCCCTTTGGTCAGTTAGTCAACCTGTCCTGGCTGTGTCTCCTCGCAAGCTTCCGTGCAACCCCAACTTCTTCTCCAGTGTGTCAGTACAAAAACTAGAAAAGGCCTTGGCTCTATGTAAGCCCTGTTCAGCAATGCAAAAGCAGCTCTGTATTATCAACCCTGTGCTCAGCACAAATCCAAAACACATCCCCATACAAGCCACTGTAAAGAAAATTAACCCTACTCCAGCCAAAATCAGTACAACAAGCAAGGGTATACATCTACACCAGCACTCTAGTCATGCCAACTATTTCTGCCTAATCCCAGTGAGATCACAGCTCTGCAGTCATGCATGGATTCCTGTGTTTCCTATGCTATGTGTACTCATGAACTGGCATCTGAAATGGGCTCCCAGACATGCTGCTGTCCCCTAGACACACACTCATTGTTCCCATGAGTCTACTACTCTTCTGGGCTTAGTCACTACAAACCAATGAAACCCCTTGTCCTGGCTTGTAAAATAAGCAGGTATTCTATTTGCCATCTGTTGGAGGTGGGGCAGGTGTCTTTCTTATCTCTTCCAAGAACAATGTCTCCCTCCAGGGAGATATCTTCTGTTAATGGGCCATTGAATGACTCACTGCATGACTGGTAAAGTTACATCATCCCATTGTGTTACATCCATCCCTTCACCCAGAGGGAGGAGCCAAGCATCCCTACCTGCATAAAATCAGCACTTTTTGGGACATCAGCAGCCTCTTCACTGGATTCCCAGAGGAGCAGCTTCTTCCCCGCTAGATCCTCAGAGGAAGACCAGGCCCATCTACTCCATCACCAGACCTTCAGAGAAAAGTACACTCTTCTACAGGATCACCACTTCAGCAGCATTTCATCTGCCACTCCAGGAGGAGCAGCCACCATTGAACTAGACTATTGCCAGCACCCTGGTTCCTCAGGGTGTCAGGTTTCTGACTCTATCAGTAGTTTTGTTTGTACTACTTACATTTTTTTAAATTTAGGTTTTTTCCTAGTAAAGAACTGTTATTCCCATTCCTGTATCTTTGCCTAAGAGCCTTTTAATTTCAATATTGTGGTAATTCGGAGGCAGGGGTGTAACGACGTATATTTGTATTCCCCGGACAGATTCAAGCGAGATCTCTTTGGTTGCTCTTGGGGGATGAAGTTTATTCAGGACACAGAGAGGCTCTGCCTCGAGCTGCCAGACACAGCACGTGGCTGGGCCTAGGGTGATGGGGGAGGGGAGAGACAGAGAGGGGAGCAGGGACTCCCGGAGGACTCTCCAGGAGGGGAAGGGAAGATCCAAGAGAGCGTCCAGCCCCCTGGAGACCCCTTATCAAAGGGGGCTCCAGGGTGGGCTGGAACAGGACCTGGGCCAATGGGGTCACAGGCACCTGATGGTTCAGGGGAGGGTTACAGATGTGGGGTGAACCATACATTCTGGGGGGTGAGATGGAACAGTCCATTTGGCTTTTGGACCCCGCTGTAGGTGAGGGTAATTGTCCAGCCAGTAGGGGGCGTTATATTCGTCCTGGCTGTACCATTGTGGTTCTTAATCATATTTATCTACCCTTCCCAACACAGGGGGTTTACATTTTCCATTTCACAGGAGGCTCTTGCCTTTCTTCACAGACTCCTGTCTTTTCAAACCAAGACACCCCTTTAAAGCCTCCTCACTTTAGCAAACCTGTTGGCAAAGACACTCTTGCTCCAACACAATTTCTGCTCAGCAAAACTCATTTAACAGAGAAGGTCCAAGAGGCCATAAAGGCTAAGGCCAAAGTGACACGAGCTGAACATTCACGTGTTGACCTGCAGGGCATATATGCTCCTACCCAAGCCCTTCCCTTTCACTGTGCGGATTTAGGAGAACATCGACTCTCTGTAAATACTCCTGATGAACTCCAGGTTATCCCTCATAATGTCATGGGTGCCCACGTGGTTGGGCAACAAGAGGTACCAGGCCAAGGTCCAGACAAGCCTCAGCAGACTGTCTGCAATACCTTACACGTGAGTTCCCAGCAAGTGATAAACCTCTCAAGTCATCAAGCAAAGACTGCAGACGGGTGTCTCCATCCCCCACAGGAAGGAGCCTTCAGCCATCATCACCCACTACTTCCTCCCACTGTCAACTGCTCAGGATCATCTGTCTCCAACACCTCCCCTGACAGAGTTTGCTCTTCCTCATCTGTTACCATGGCACTATACCTATCTTGAAAATGCACATCTGCAAGCAGAGAAAGAGCTGCCTTCTGTTGCCAGCATTCACAAGATTCAATTTCTCCCCATCTTAGAAGTCTCTATCCACCACTTATTCAAATGCAGCTTCTAGCTGTCCCTCCTTCCATGCAATGTGCTCTTCTACTCTCTGTAGAGACCTGTTTCTATTCCCTATGGTTCTACAGCCTGCTCAACTCCTGCTGTCACATCACCTGGCAGCTCAGCACCCTGAGGACAGCAGAATCCAACAGATGAAGCCACCATCATGTACTACCCCAGGCTCAGGGAAAAGTCCCAGTCACTTGCTGCAATCCAGCATCTGACACATCCTTCTGGAGTTCTGTCTGGGCTAGTGTTCCATGTGCCAGGCACAGTTGCTCCAGCCAGGATTGTAAAGCATGCTTTCAGGAACATCACTGCACCCACTCCAGTTGTCTCAGAGTGCTAACTGCTGCATTAACTGCTAAACCTTGTCAGTCACTCCATGTCACAACAGTTTTGTAATGTTTTGTGATACTATGGCCAGCAATGTAGATGCAATAGGAAAAAAAAAAAAAAAAAAAGGCTTGACATAGAGCAAAGTTAGAATTTTCTAAACCACTACAGCTAGAAATAATTCCTCTCTCCAAAATATCAAAACCCTTTTGCTGTTTGCTACAGACAATTCTTATGCTTTCTGCAGATTTGTGTTCTACATAGTACAAGGACAGTGGCATTTACCAGCATACAAAGGCATGTCAACTCCTACTCTTCTCCTAGACAGCACTTAAGTCTCAAAGACACACCACAGATAGTTTTATGATGCATGCCAGGAAAAGGCAGTTTTAAAATAATTATGCAGAGGATGTGTTCTCTTGCAAAATAACAAATAATCATTAAAAGGCCTCCTCTCTTTCCAAGTTGTTTCTTTAAATACTCATTATACAAGCAAATGAGAAAAGTGAAGAAGCTGAAGAAATGATATGGCATTATTCCCTGCCTGTAATTCTGCTTCCCTGAAGATAAAAAGCACATGACTTTCTCTCTAGCCATTTAATTTCAGCTCCTTAGCTGAGTTTGAATCAGAATTTTCTCATTGTAATAATGTGTTCTAGGATGACCCTGCTTGATCAAGGAGATTGGACCAGGTGATCCACTGTTGTCCCTTCCAACCATATCCATTTTGTGAATCATTTCTGACAAAAAACTTGACTCTGCTCTACTGGTTTAAGCTGGATACCTCTTTAAAACTTCCTACTTTTAAAACTAAAACCATTATCTACTGGTAAAGAAGAGGTAAAGATTTTTGGGCAGATGTTCAGTATTGCAAGGGATTTCAGAGATTGAAAGAGATCTAAATCAACACTTATCTGCCAAAGACTGTCACACTGACTTAGGAAAAGGATATTCAGGTCTGTTCCCTATAAAAGTCCTCAATGGTAGCAAAGCCATTTTCAAAGTAAACCTAATCTCCGTGACCTGATCTATTTTAACAGATTAGGAGAACTTTCAAGTTCCCAGATCTAGGGGCAGGTGACTGCCAAATAACTCCATTTCAGCACTGCACTCCAGCATGTACTTTGGAAGATGGAAAAAATCTTTGGTGTATACTATAACAGGATCTCCATCCAAATTATCAGGAAGAGCAAGTTCAGCCTGGATACAGCCTGTCAAGTTGCAGATAAAGCATTTTATTATCTCTCTGTATTGCTTCTGAATGAACACTTATAAAGAAGGATATTCTTGTGGACTCCTTATTAAAATGCTCTTCCCAGTGCAGTCACATGTCCCGCAGGGCCTCTTGTACAGCTCATCTAACACTTCACTTAGAGCTGCTCTCTGCACAAATGCCCTGTCCCCAGGGTCACAAACAAGTTCTGCAGTGTCCTCGCACTCCCCCAGGACTATAGAAATGACAGGTCCGCAGCCTACCAAAAAGTGGGAATGCAGTATTATGCTGCCTTTAGAGGAAGAATATTATTTGCCTCAAGTTTTTTTCACCACGTGACAGAAAACAGAACATTAAGAAATCTTCAGAGGTCAAACTCACCTCTCTTCCCAGGCAGCCTGACTACAGTTAGAGAAGGAGGTAACACAGATAATCAACAGCCTTACTAAAGCCATGGGATTACACAGCTATAGTCAGCTGGAAAGCATTTATTTCTACAAAAGGACTGATCTAATTCTCCTCCATTAAAGAACTGTAGAGTAATGTTGGTTGTCACACTAGGGAGCTGAAATCAAAGAGCAGAAATTTAGTCAATATGACATCTCTAACCATAAAAAAGTCTTCAGAATTTTTGATCCACATTAAAATCTATTACTGGAATCAAAATACAGAGTACAAGTGCTAAGTCATTATTTAAAATGAAGACAGGTCTCCATCCATGTGCTGTGGGCTAAGTCTGATAGGTAGTTCAGCCCCATAGAACCCTATTTACTCACTCCACTCCCAGTGGGAATGGGGAGACAATCACAAGGACAAAACAGGCAAAACTTGTGGGCTGAGATAAAGACATTAATAAGTGAAGCAGAACTGTGTGTGCAAACAAAATAAAACAATGAATTAATTCACTAATTCTCATTGTCAAGCAGGCATCTAGCAATCCCCAGGAAAGCAGGACTTCATCCCATGCAACAGTGATTTGGAAAACCAAATACCATATCTGTCAATGCCCCCTTTCACTCCTTCTTCCTCCCAGCTTTTACTGCTGAGCAAGATGTCATATGGTCTGAGGTGTCCCTTTGGTCAGCTGGAGTTAGCTGTCCCAGTGTGTCCCCTCCCATCTTCTTGCGCACCCCTGCTCACTTGGTAGGGCAGTGTGAGAATAAGAATAGGCTTTGATGCTGTGTGAGCACCATTCAGCAATAACTAAACGTGGGTTGTCAACACTGGTTTGGTCACGAATCCAAAGCATAGCACCAATGGAACTGCTAGAAGGGAAATTAACTCTATCCCAGCCAAAACCAGGGCACCAAGTTAGAAAGATAATGACTAGTGAACTTCTCCATAAGCACACCCTCCTGAACAATTAATGAAAGCAACAGTGACAGATACAGGGGTGTACTGCAGAGTGATATATACAGAAACGAAAAGAATGTGTAGCAGAGGGAAGGAAGATGTATTATAAGAAAAGGAAATGAAAAGGCACATAGAGCACAGAACTAGTACCATACACAGGACTTCACAGAGCAGCCAACCTTTGCAAACAAGAGCATGTTATTCAGACACATATAACCTTCAGCTACAATGCTGTGAACTCATAAATGTTGTTGCAACAGTGTTGCAATGCATTAACTTTTAAAAACCTCACTAAGACACCTAGTTAGGAATAGTAAGTAGGACATCAAAAAACAAATCAACAAACATTAAATAAAACAGCATGCTGCTGCTGATGTTACTAATCACAGAACATATCACCTAATAAAGTTAGGTGATTCAAATGGCTTAATCGCTTCAAATCATTTGAATTATAAACTGCTTCCATAGACTGTTTCCATGTCTGTATGAAAATACTATCAAAAACAAAACAGCAATATGTTGGAAGAGTTTCTCAAGGCCTCTGGGTTCTTTAGTATTACCAACCTTTCTAAAGGTAAACAAAACACTAAAAAACAACTCACCTGATTGCCCGTTTCTGCCACTATTTCCTCTTTGGCAACTTCAGCCCTTTCCTTATTTCGGCAAACCAGATGAACCGTGCCACCTGGTGGATTGCAACAAGAAAAGCATTTGATAATTAATTACTAGCTGCATTTGGGGGAGACATCAGCATTTTAATTAGGTGAGATACTGGATATAAGAAAAAAGCTGGAATATTTCTGCTTGGCTCTGATTCCTGTGAAGGCAGGCAGGGTCATCATGCAAGGAAAAAGCCACTGCACTCTAAGTACTGTGCTCAAACCATTTCTGTCAAGTCTGTACATCATGTTCAGTGAGTGAAATACCAGAGCTAAATGGGAAATTGGAGCTAAGGCATCTGTATCATAGATGGTTTTTTTGATATATGCCTTAGGAAGAAAAGGGCTTGAACAACACAAGTGACTAGAATTGCTCTGTGAAAACTAAATAAAAGTGCCAGATATTGGAATTCTCAGCAATGGGAGATACGACAAGAACTATGGCCTCAATTGCAGCTTGGGAGGCTCAGGTCATCTGACTTATTTTTCATGAGAAAAACAATCAGTAGTTTTCTTCTCAATAGACCAGGCTTTCTCAAGAGGATGCATAATTTGCACCCTGTGGGTATCAAGCAGCAAGATACAGAAATGACTGGTTTGATCTACTGTTACCAACAGACCTGCTTCAAGTGAGGTGCTGGACAAGGTGACCTCTAGAGGTCTCTTCCAACCAATTTTTCAATGGAAGGAAGACACAAGGCAAGGCTCTTCTCAGAAACCTGGATACTTAACACAAAAAAAAAACCTCAAAAAAACAACAGTCTCATCACTTAATCATATTAAAGAAAGCCTTCAAACACAAGACTAAAGTACAACTAGGCAACATTTTTTTTGCTTCATATTCTCTGATTGTTACAAGTTATGCGTTAATTTCAGTCCTATGAATACCTATACTCTTCTGCCTGTTTTTCAAGGTGTTTTGGGGATTGCTAGCAGTCCACTTCGAGAAAGCTCAAGGAATTAATCCCTAATAGAAACATAATTAATCCATAATAGAAACAACTGTGTCGGGTCACACTTTTAGTGCCCAGAACCCACATGCAAGTCTACCTTGGGATGATACAGTCACACACTGCACAGCCCAGTCTGGGGTCTGATAAAGAAACCTTTTGTCTACAAGAGAGGTTTTTCCACTAAGCAGCAGGACAGAGGGGAAGTTTAAGTGTGACTGATGCATTAGGAAAGGAATTTAAATGTATTTACTTTGGTAAAGATTGAAACTATTTTAACTTAACACATGGGAATAGTCAGAGTTGACAATCAAGAGTAGTTGGGAGAAGACTGTATCAAGCTGGAAGTTCAATTCACAAGACATAGAGGAAAGTCCAAATCCAAATATCCATAAGACATCAATTCACAGAAAAGATGAACTCCAACTATGGAAATTTTCAGCAAGATCATCATTAGTTAGAAATAGCTGAGTGCTTGAAAGTAAAGCCAAAAAAGCCTGATTATTCCTCCGCTGAGTCAGAATTCCTTATTCAATTGTCATGGCATACTTAAAGAGATTCAACTAGAAGCCTGAGCCCCAACAGCCGACACTGAGTTTCAAAGTGAGATGTTCAAGGATGGAATCAGGAAGTCATCTTAACTTCATATGAACAGCAATGCCCATACAACATATCAGACACACAGTCTGAGCCCAAGGTCGTTCTGCTAAACATGGTGACCAAATTCCATACAGATCCAGCCAGTTTTCCAGCTTGCAAAACCTGGTAGAGATACCCATTTGTGAGCAAAGCAGTCACCTGACAAAGCAGTACTTACATAAAGTGATTACGTACAATAGCAGTGGTGGGAACCTGAAATCAATCACATGCTGGCACTGATGTAGATCTTAAACCCAAAGACTCTTTGATGCTAACAGTTTTGAATTAGTTTCATTTAACTGAGTCGCCACTTTCCTCCATAAGATAGTTACGAAACCTAAGCACACAAATGGAGAAAAGAGCCACAAGCTCCTCCCGCTTCATTCTGCGTGCCAAACCTCCTGTCACTCTTGCACAACAGGAATTACTTTGTCAACTCTGTAAGGGATTAGGTTTATCCTTCAGCAGCAGCTAGGCCTAGTTTATACCATGTCCTTACATACAAACAGCAACATAGCAACATAAAAAAATAATTACATGTCATCAGCCAAAGGGCACAAACTCCAGGGTATTATCCTTAAGATTAAGAACAGCTACATTGTTTTTTTTTATGCTCTCCCATCTCATTTTTGTAAAGACAATTGTTTTCTTTCATCATATGATACATTTTCAGATTCCTCAGTTCAAATTCAGCCAGGCTGCTACTTGTACCAAATTAACCTTAAACAGATACTGATCTGTCACCAACATCCTTAGATGCCACTATGACACAGATAGTTTTGGTAAACATGCACTTGAAAAACAATTTGCAGATGGTCTCTGCTAATTTGGTTTCCTTATCCCAGTTTTCACTGCATTGATTGTGCTTAAACCTCTAACCCACACTAAGGCTCCTGTCAAATGACGCCGCATCCCAGGGATTTGTGTTTGTGTGTAAGTGCTGGAAAGCCAAACCTGCTTCCTCCCATCATCTCTGTAAGCCTCCTGGGAGCTCCATGGCAGCCCTGCTCACCTCTCCTCGCTATCTCCTTGGCTGTAGCCTTGCCAATGCCACTGTTTGCACCAGTGACCAGGAAGGATCTTCCAGCCACATCCACCTCCACATCAGCTGGGTCGAAGCGCTTGGAAGCAGACTCGTAACCACCTCTGAACAAATCAAGAGACACGTGTGAGAAACTAGAAGCGAGCCCTTGCAAAATAAACACACGTGTGGGCTGAAAAGCACTTTGCTCTCACAGCTCAGCATCCAGTAATTGCACTATTTACTCTCTGTACCCATGGGACAGGCCATGAATACCAGTGACACTGCGATCAGCAATATATCACAGAATCGTTAAGGTTGGAAAAAAGTCTTTAAGATCATCAAGTCCAACCATCAACCCAACACCATCACCACGTTCACCCACGGCCTCAGGCGCCGTATCCAGACGTTTTCATTAACACTTCCAGAGATGGTGTCTGCATCGGCTCCCTGGGCAGCCTGCTCCGGTGCTTTGCAATGAAAGCGACAACTCGCAGCGGCGTTTGGCTGCCCCAGCCACCCACCCCTGACCTCGGCCCTCGGGGGTGCCCGGAGCCCCAGGGCGGGGCAGGCAGGGCCGGGCAGCCCTCACGGAGCGCGGCTGGAATCCGCCCGTCTCGGCGGGGGCGGGCAGCCGCCCACAGAATCACCAAAGCACCGCGGCCGAGCCCGGGACAGGCGGGAGCGGCCGAGCTCGGGCGCCGCGCCCGCCCCGCGCCGCCGCCCGTACCTGGTGTACTCCCGCAGCCCCTTCACGAACCACACGGTGTTGCGGTACCAGGACATGGCTCTGCTGCTGCCACCGCCCCCGCAGCCGGGCCGGCCCCGCCTCTGCCCTTACATAAGCTGCCCGGCCAGCCCGGCCGCGCTAGGGAAGGGCTGAGGGCGGCCCGGCCCGGCCGCGCTGAAGGGAGGGTGCGAAGCAGCGCGGCGAGTCTGGCAATGGAGGTACCGGTGCCACCTTCCTCCTTAGCAGCACTTCGTGGGCTGGATCTGCTTTCTGTTCTCTCCTCTTCCTCATTAGCCATGGAATGGCTAGCCCCTGCCTCGCTGCACACAGCTGTGCCTGGCGAATGAAGGATGGAGAATTTCCGGGGCTCCAGCGTGGGACAGATGCTGCTGCTGGCTAAGGCGGGACTGCAAACGGGGTGTTGTGTTTTGGGAACTGGGAGCAGTGCTACAGGACCTAGGCCTGCATCCTGGAAAGATGTCAAAGGGATGATCCCAGAGAAACATAAAAAATGACATCATGCCACACGAAGTAGCATTTTACATAATAAATCTATTAAATACCTAGCTCCTACTGGTGAAGCGAAGCATTCCAGTAAGGAAAGGATACATGAGTTGCTCTTGCAGTAAGGGGAGGGTAATTCAATATGTTTTTGGTTTTATGCTCTTTGGACCTATGGAGCCCAAGAGAAGCACTTGGAGTTGCACATGTGGATAGCCCATGGTAGCCATAAGGAAATTGTCATGATAGGTATAATTATGCTTTTAATTATGCAAAAGATCTATGCACTTAGAAAGTTCCATGTGCAAGTTGGATGAATTCATGTATTTTATAGGGTATGCAGGGCCACATGCAAAAAAGCTCATTTAAGAGCCCTATCTAAGTTTTCAAGAGCTTAAGTTACCTGATTTCAATAGCACAGATAGTGGAGAAATTGGAATATTCTCTCTTTTTTTTGATCCTGTATTGTAGTCTGACACTTCTTTTTCTAAATCTCTTTGCTCTGGCAAAGGCCTTATACTAAAGTCTTCCACTTTCTCAGCATGATATGCGAGTATTAGGCTCATACAAAAGGCACTTCCCACCATGAAGTTATAACTTTTGAACTTGGCCCTGTCTGCTTGTCCTGTACATTACATGTGAAGTAATAGTTTCTAGAGGATGAAGAGACACATTTTCACAGTGATATTTTCTTCCATGCAGAGGCCATCCAGCTACATATTGTACCTTTTCATGAAATATAAAAATGCTTGTTCTTAAAAAAATTGAAAGACTCTATTAAAAAATGTAAATGCAGTAAGACAGATTGTGCTTTATTCCTTTGTCATTTCTGTGTTGACTCTATTTATTTCTTGAGAACTGTGATTATAGCTTAGTAAAAGCAAAATGGGATGATGGCTCTGATGTGTTTTGTTTGTCGTTCCAGCCTGTGTTCTCATAGATTAGGAAGTTCATCCCTGCAGTCTTCCAGCCTCTGAAAGTAAATGGGGTGCCTGTAGATACACGGAATTTCTCACAGGCTGAACCATTTGGACTGTGATCAGCATGATGCTGGATGATGCAGCCCTGAGGTGCTAACCAATGTGAGCATGCCTGGCAGAAGCTGTCCATGAGTCAGACACAAAAAGAGATTATGGCAGGCAGAGAATGGGAGCAGCTCATAATATTTTGGGGGTTAAGCAGTAATGGGCAATTACAGCATATTACTCATACTGAGATTACAGAAGATGTTTGAATGTAATGTTGGCTACCAGTGTCATCCTGGTGCATACACAAATTTGTCAGAGAATATTATATAAATACTGCAATGTACCTACTGCAATGTTAGCTGCACCCTTCTAACACATAGCATTTTAAGGACATTTTGTAAATGCCCACAAATTATGCCCTTACCAGAGTGCACTAATCCCTGAGCAGATTCAGCTGCAAGAGTCTTGCTTAGAAACACTTGTTTTTTCTGTACTGAGGGGCTAAGCTTGTACCCAGAAATGGACTATCACAGCACTCTGTCTGAGCAGCCTAATAGAAGCAATCATTAAGGCTAGGAAAGACATCCACGAGCAAGTCCCACATTCACATCAAAGTGAGCTGTTGCACACTGTCCTAACACAACCTAGATGTTTTTGTTGCCTCATTTCATCCCCTGTGGTGTTTTGCTTCTGTTCTGTTGTTCCAGAGGCAGGAGGCTGTAGAGATTGTGTAAGTGCTCTCTGCTAACCCAGACATCAGTGATGAAGGGTGGTGCAGGAGAAAGGCAAGATGTAATTTTGCCAAGGGCTGGGTGCTGCTAATGAAGGGCCTGCATCTGGGTTTTCTCACAGGCAAAATTTCTGCCCACTTCAAAAGTTTTGACCACGTATCTTGCCTTCTGTACTGAATTCTAGGTTGATGCATCTTGTTAGCTGAGTTAGATCCTATTCCAGAGCTTTGGAAATTCAAAAAGTTATAGCTTCTGGTTTCTTTCTTGACTGCTGGTAGCTTAGCAATTAACTCCAACAGGACACTGCTCTGAACAGAAGGGATTTTTTTAGACAAAGAATTTTTCTCATGCATTGGCATACTACATCTCAGACCCCTGTCAGAGCCAGCAGCTGGTATATTTGTGTCATACAGAGCTGAAAGTGGGAGAGCCAGAGTCTCTTAAGCTCATGTTTCCCTCATTTGAGGACAGAACAAAATGGCTTCACCCAGACTAATAAACACAAGTCAGTGTTTATTATTTATCCCGATAAAGCATATCCAAGTTAATTCTTACCCTATATCTATTCTATCAAATGTTCCATTGCATATTCCCAGGCCTTGATCCTCTTATTGCCCCTAGGCAAATGATTGCTGATGGCTAGGTCACAGTAGGTATTAAGCAGATACTTCTGTCAAAAACAAGTTCAAATGTCATCGTGAATAGATTGCTCAAAGGGTAGTTTTTTTCCCAAATACTGCAGATGGGGGGGCACGTGGGTTAACACTGCACAGCTTGGCTTGGCCCTGGTGGTCCTGCCTTCAGGTGTGTGCATTTACCAGGGTACAAATAGCCCCCTAAAAGCCTGTTATGCAAGCCCTCCATGACTGCAGGTAATCCGAACACATAAAAATTCTGGAGTGTTTGGCTGTGAGCCTCCAGACACTAAGATTTTTCATGGAGTAATGAGTTGAGAATCTCAATTTTCTTAAAACACAGGAGCTGATGAAAAATATCTCTCTGGCACTCAGCTGGGCTAACATGAAAAACATACCTTAGACTTGATTTGTCTTTGTACCTGTCAAATAGCAAGAAGTTTTAAGCAAAGTTTTAATTACTTCTAGCACAAAGGAAAGTGGAAAATACTGATTGCTGTTGAGGGCTGTGCATTTCAGCATGTTTCATATTTTCTTCCCAGGGGATAGATCTAAAAGTAGAGTACTCAAGAGCTGAAAAGCAATTATATATTATACAAGATGTTTAAAACACCTTCAAGGCCATTTTGCCAATCTCTCATATTATCTTTTTTTTTTTTTTTTTCTTGGGGTTTTTTTTTAGTGAAAGGCTAAAATCTTGGTCTTAAGGACAACTGGCTCCTTTGCTTTCTTCCTTCCAGGGATCTGCCAGGCTGTTGAGCATTCCCTCCTTTCCTTGCAGTTACTAATTTTCTAATTAAGTTGCTGTGCCTGCCCTTATTAAAGCAATCAGAACTGATTCAGTTGCCACTGATTGCAGTGGGAACAGGTATGGGCTTTAAGGGCCAGGTTTGCAGGAAAACTCTGCATCTGAGCTGGGACCAGGTTTCCAAAGGAAGTGACAATTGTGTGCAAGCCACTGCTGCAGGAGCTGCTCCCAGCCCTGTTTTTACCATGCTGGCCTCAGCTCTGGATGTAGAAGACTTGAAGACTCTGCTTTAGAAACTTGGCACAGCCCCAGTCTGTAATAGCAATCAAGAGCTGTCAGCAGCCTGGGGAGATGCAGTTGACACTTGTTCTGTTGTCTGGGTGAAGCAGAGGGTTTGGTGAGTGGTTGAAGAGGAACATTAAGTCCCTGAGGTCTCAGGGACCTGTCCAAAGTGCTTGTGGTAGTAGCAGGGTGAGAGAAGCAAAAGCTGCTCATTCTGAATGCAGGGAAGGGTTGAAGTTCTGGCATGTGTTATGTTTTTGTGAACAGTAGAGTGTTTTCTTTGTTGTGTACCCAAGTCATCACCAAGTTTGCCAGCTGCTGTCATCAGTAGTGTTGTTTCCAGTGAAGAGTCAGGCTTTCCCCAGGCCAAATAGCCTTTTATTACTGAGGAACAAGTGTGGCAGTATGTCATCACATCTATCACTCATTGCTCAGGGGACAGTAAAAGGAATCTCATGCTGTGACTTATCAGAATTATAGGTTTGCTTTATCAACTGCTGAGGCCCCATGTCTCTGGGAGCCTGCAGGGCTTCCCAGGGTTAGGCATGTCCTGGTGAAGAGACGGGCTGGTTAGTGTCCTCCTAAAGTGGAAAATATTGACTGCGAGAAGCAGCTAAACCTGCTGCTAACCTAATTAATCTCCTATATATCAAATAATTTTTGCAAGCTGAAGTGTATATAATTGTTTTTAAAATAATAGGATGGCTTAGGATATTTTAAAAGTAATAAACCCAAAATGTTATAGTTGATATGCATTCTAGAGAATAATTTTTTAATCAGTAAAAGATAATTTTTTGATTTCCATGACTGAAAAATTCTTTATGTTCTTACAGTAAACAACATACTTGAATGTATACGTGTTTTTTGCTAGGTTGTGGCAGCAATGCGGTTATCTATACTAATATTTTCTACAGCTGTTTTTCTTCTTACTGCTCTTCTACTGGATCTTACTCTTCTCAATAAAAGCTGTTGGACAGGAATGCTTACAGGCTTATTGAGTCAAGTGAGTCTTGCTATTCTTTTTTTATTCTTCTGTAAATCTTACTGCTTACTAGCATTTTATTCCAGACCAGTTGTTACCAAATTGCAGATGTTACCTAGTAGAATGTATCCTCAAAGAGGTATCTACAGACAGAGTAAAACACACACCTGCTTACATGGTTGCTGTTTTCTTCAAATGCCAAAGGCATAGTCTGAAGTTTTGTGTCTTCAAGCATTCCCTGTGCTGTTGTAACAAAACCTGCAGAGATATGTGAAATGTATCCATGCAAAGCTGTGGAGCCAAACCTTCCCATGCAAATAAGTACCAGACCTGTTTACCTAAATTCTTATTTCGCCTGGGCAAGTTGGACAAGTTTAAAAATAAAAAACAAGTTCACAAATAACACTGAAGCAACTCTTTGTTTCTGACACACTTCGAAAATAAATAGTATTTGTTATGAACTACTGTTGTGAAATCCATGCAGAAGTAAAACAGCGATACAAAAGTAAACAGTGATAATAAAAAGTTGTTGTCTACAGCAGCTTGTGGATAAGTGAATAGTGGGGGTTTTTTTCTCCTCTGTATCCTGTGTACTCATTTCATATAACACTGAAAAGCTAAATTTTTTTTTTCCAAAAGGACTGAGACTCAAATCCATCAGATATAATTGAAAGGGACGTTAAAGATTGTGTAGTTCAAACCCCCCTGGTGTGGACAGGAACACATTTCAATGTGTTCAGGTTATTCAATAATCCATGCAACTTGTCTTTGAGTATTTCCAGTGATGGGGCACCCACAACTTCTCTGGGCAACCTGTTCCAGTGCCTCACTACTCTTATACTAAAGAATTTTTCCCTATTATCTAACCTGAACCTATTCTGTTTCAGTTTGAAGCCATTCCTCATTGACCTGTCACTACATGCTCTTGTAAAAAGTCCCTCTCCTTTTTTTTTTGTAGGTTCCCTTCCACATGCAGGTACCTAACTCACCTGGGCATCAATAGGACCTTGTAAAAAGGAAGATTTCTTGTATGGTGATGGCAGGCCCAGTTTGAATCTCTCACATTCGAGCTGCTGCACGGGGAAGGGAATCATGGATTATTCCTTTGCTTGCGTATTACTAATCATACAGAAGAGTCAGTATGGCTGAGATTTAAATCTGTGGGCGAAATCTGTCTCTGATATAAGTAGTCATCTCAGTGAAATTGCAGCAGGCTTGATTAAAATTATCATGACTGGTAAATGTAAAGTACCTTAATTTTCAGACTGCAGTCACATAGACTTATGCACTTACACTAATTTTAATTCAAATGAGACATTTGGTAGAAATTCAGTGTTAGAACCACATATACATGATTTCTCAGAATTTCATACCATTTGTTTAGAAATCTTGCAATATGACGTTCTTTTCAGCAGTTTCCTTGTACTATGCAATACCAGATGGCACTTGCCAGCCTTTTTTTTTTTACTCTCAAGTACTATACCTTCTAAAATATTTTCTGTTTCTTCCTATGGCTGATACCTGTGGGACTTTCATCTACTCCAGCAGTGAACAGGAACCTGAAGAAACCTATGCCAACAAGCAACAGTTTCAAATTATGGTTCTGATGTAACAATCCTTTCTGTATTATACGTATAACATTCAAGGGTCCTCTTTGTCCTCCTTGTGATGCAAAGTCCCTATCAGCTAGAATGTGGAGAATTATTAATTATCTGAGAAAATATTCAAGATAACTTACAAAAACTGGTAGTTTAAAATGTTGTACAATATATATGAGTTATCATCAGTTCAATCTTTGTAGCATTTAGAGTCTTTTACACCAACTGTTCCTATTTCAGGATCTGGAACATTTGAGACAGCTTTTGCCATAAAGAAGCAGGAGCTATTCTAGATTATTTTTCTTCTGCACAGTTACCTTGTAGTTTTAAAGCCTGATGTCTTGGGACCTCATAAAGCTCAGAGCAAGTGCTCTGTGAGAGAGATCATCTTCTCTTACAGCACAGCTGTAACACATAATTCTGGTTTCCAGTCCTGAGAAAATGAGGTCTGTGATGTGTCTGATACTCTTCTCTCTTCTTTGGGCCAGCAGGTAGGAGCTGTCTGTGTTCAACACTTGGAGTGAAGGATTGCTTGTCTGTCTGCTGCTTCTAAAATAGCTGTGGAAAGCTACTCTCTAGAGCTTTGGAATCTTACGCTTATTGCTAAAGAAGGTGGAGTATTGGGAGGACAAATATACCGTGGGCAATAAACTGTAATAAGTGTAACTTATTGCATGGCTCCTGACAGTGCACTTTTATGTATGTGTGTAGAGTCAGTGTGTGCATACAGAATTGTCTTTGGGCCTTCACATTATTAGATTTCTGTAGTATTACTAGCAGCGAGCTGGCTGTCCTATCTGTTGAAGTAATATTTTTTCTTTTTTCCTTTAAATACTGGGAACAGACCTTTCCTTCTCAATAAGGGGAGCTAATATAACTGAAACAGAGCTAGTTTCCTGCATTGTAGTCAACATTGAGTGCATAATAATTAGCTTAAAGGTGTATTTTTTTCAGTTTTTTTCAGTAGACATTTATATAACTCTGGGAAGAAAATTAACATTTTTAATTTGTAATTTTAGTCTAGTGGCAAAATTAAAATTAATCATTTTGAGGTGTAGACTGTATTTTCAGCTGCTTGATATTTGGGCTGTAGTGACTTAATTCCCCCACAGCTCTTTGCAAGGAGCCACACCTACTTCTGTAGGGACTGAGCATTTGTCTGGGACACCATAATTTTGTGGCAGTTCAAAATGCTGCTGCTTGCAAGTTAAGGTGCTGTGGCCCATGCACATGTTCATAGCTTGCCCCTAAGTGAGATGAAGTGTCTTCAATTAAACTACTTTCATTTAGATTTGAGTGCTACTGAGGCAATTTGAGAGAAACTATGCAGCTGGGTCAGAAGAGTCACTGTGACTCATGTGTATCTAATTATATGCCCAAACTAGATATCCCTGCTCTGGTCCTGCAAGATTCCAGTGTGCTGAAAGTGAAGAAGGCATGCTTAGATCCCTTTGGGCACAGAATTGATGGCTCTAACAGTTTTGGAGATGTTGATGTTCTCACTTGTATGTGCCATAGCGTATTGATGTATACAAGGTAAAAGTAAATACTATTAATGCAGAATTTTTCTCTCTTAGTTGTAGCAAAGTGTTTTGTTTACTCTGTATAACTTCAATGTGTTTCACAAATGTCTTTTGCTTCATTAATACCACCTCTATATTTTTGTGTTTGAACCAACCAGGTCTTGAACACGAGCACAGTGACTTAGCAGCACTTTCCCAAGATGTCAGTGGATGCACTGGGTTCTTATATCTGAAGAATTAATCCTCCATGTCAAACTGTAGAGAATCAGTCAATCTTAGCCTCCATGAATGAGGCATGGGCCTCAGGTTTACTGTTGTGTGGCTGAAGTTTGGCAAATCATTGCACATCTGTTGAACTGCTGTAACCATGTTCACAAAAACACATCAAACAGAAGACAATGTCACCTTTCATCTCTTCTCCTCTGGGCTGAACTAAAATCTCCTCTTATTTGCTCCAATAGGAGGACATCATCACTTGCTATGAGGTCACTAGAATCAATTCAGACTTAGGTCTGGAGTATTAGCCCTTAATTCCTAGTGAGTAAGAGTGATTCTAGCAGTATTTTCCAAGAACAGGGAAGTTTGTATTGGAGCCCTGTGGGTGGAGCTACTTTCTTTTTAAATTTCTTTTGCATTATCAGCTGAGTATAATTTTCTGGTTTTATGCCTGTTCCAGGTTTCTGGGTAAAGTTCCTGTGTAATGATAAACATCTGCTTTGTTGCATTTGAGTGATGGATGGAGTTATGCCATCTGATAGGCAATTTCTTAAACATTTTGAGTTCTTAACAAATGAAAGATGCTCTCCACTGGAGGTAAAAATAGATCAGTTGAGAACTGAACCCTAAAATCCTGAAGTCCAAGTGGTGAACCATTGTAGTGTTTCTGGTGGGAAAGAGGAATTCTAGCATTTCACCATTAGGAGCAGTTACGTTTCAGAAAAGTGAGGGGCAGTGGAGAGTGTGTAATGGAGCAGCTCTTTGGGAAACAGAGCCAGTGATTTTTCCCAGGTCCAATCTGAGGCCCATAAATAAAGGGAAAGATTTCCATTGGTCCCATTTCCATTCATAAAACTGTGCCTGGCCTAAGTCAGCCAACAGTATTAGTAATTATAAAATATAACTATTACCTATTCCATCAATTTCTGAATGGAGCAGCCTGGCTGTTACCTCTCCTGAAGGTATGCTGCAGAGCAGGGGAATGCTACACTGATGCTGCCCTCATGTCAGATTATTTCATCTTTATCCTACCTTCTTTCTAAGATTAGTTCTCTGGAAATAAACAGTTCTTAAATCTGGGGCCTGAGTTAAAATCCTTGTAAGCCAAATGCAGGCTTACTTATCTATACAATAGCCGGTGAAATAAATGTTTGTGTTTGAAGACAGGTGGTTCCCACAGATGTTACATTGCTTTCAGGCTTAGTCCCAGGAAGGATGGTTGAGCAGACCCTGTTCAGCTGTGGCATATTGTTGAGCTCTTTTGCATATCTCACTCTTTCACAGGCATTTTATAACCCTTTTGGGTTTCTCTAAAACACATGTTTCAGCTGTGTGGATTTTAACAGACAAAATACACAAAAACGACATATTTTTCCTGTGCCTTGGGCCACCCTCAAACTCATCTAGAGGTGAGGCCCTCCATTTTGACCACATTAACATAAGTGCATAAGAGCAAAAGCAGAAAGAGTACTTTTATACGGCATTCATCAACACATGAAAAAACAATCTACCAGGACAACTTCTGGGGTTGTTCCTATACATGTCACAAAAAAAATTGTCTCTCTGCATGCTGGTGCTTTTAAAGATGCTGCTGACTGAAAAGCTGTTTGCATTACATCTGTCCATTAAGTACAGATTTCCATATGTACAGCACCAAGGTGAACAAATCAAATGTATATTCACACCACTACCAGAGAACTGCTGTAGAGAACACATCTGCCTGAGATTCTCACATCTCCACCCATGTCTTATTGTTGTGGTTTATAGGTAACATCATCAGTTTTTCTATGAACTTGATCATAATGGTTTGACAGTTATCTTTGTGTTAGTGTGGTACTGACAAATTACTGTTATAGAAAAAGTGTATCCCCTGACTGGGGAATGCTGAGCCCTGCTTGAAGCACCAATCTGACACTCAGTAGCTCAGTTCCCTTGGTTCACTGGATGTATTGGATATATACAGATGCATTCATACTGTCTGGTTTAGCCCCAAAGTTAGATATGGATGCTTCCCAGTCCAAGTTCAGAAGAGAACTGAGGGCCATATTCAGGCTGCCTTTTATACATGCTTGTATTGCTATCACAGCTTCTTACTGGCCAGTCTGACATTAGCCTGAGTAGCTCTCTAGTGAGCATCTCAGTTACTCTCAGAGTTCCCAGAGTCCATGTGCTCTGCAAAGTGGCCTGAATAAAACCCATTGTCCCAGCTCCCTCATCTATAATGCAGGGACAATAACAACCTTCATCAAGACTATGGGGAGATGTTCAGATCCCAGTAAAGAGAACAACATGGCTACTTTTATAGGCAAAGATGTACTGTGCTATGTACAACATAACGGGGACCTGGTTTTAGAGGAGATTGCCATCTGCGAGAGCTCGCTTCTGATAAAACATCCAGAGTTAAAAAATAGGATGTAAAAGTTAGCAGGAGTACACCCTGACACCTGCAGCAGTGTTTTTGCATAGACTATACCGTATTCCAGCATAGCTATTTCCAGATGGCACTGTATTTTTTAATTTCCCCTTGAAGTTGACTACTATCACATATATATGTCATACAACAAAGATGTACACAAGGTGAATTATTGCCTGTTCTTTGTTGTACACGCTTTTCCAAAAATCTGGAGATTTATTTATGTAGCATTTAGTCTTCCTCAGAAGAGAATCTTTGCCTGGAAAAACAGTATATGCAGCAGCTACAAAAGATAAGGAGAAACAGAACAGTATGGCTAATAATGAGAACACCAACAGCAAAAATGTACAGGGTTTTGTCGCAGTAATCCTGAGGCTGATGAAAAGGCGGGATGAAATTTGGCAAATACACAGAAAAAACCCAGTAGTTCCCAAGAATGAACCAGAGAAAGAGGAAAAGGCTGAGGGTTAGATGAACATAGTACTTGTGAGCATTCTGCCTCCAGGGATACTCATCGTCATCATCATCATCAATCACAACAGACTTGGAAAGAAGCTGCCTCATCCTGGTTGAGTCGTACAGCAGGAGGGTCACCTGGAGGCATTGGGGGAGAAAAAGGAATAAGTAAAGTGGCTGCAGAGAGTCTGAATACCTTCTGGCCACTGCCAGTCTTTGGGTCAAATTAAATTAGGTGTGGGAAAACAGTGTAAGAGAAAGCTAAGGAGCCACAAACAAGGCAAGTACTGCTGGACAATAATGCATTTTTTCCCTTGTAGATTATTCACCAGTGGGGGTCATACATTGGAAAAAAATTGCTAATGGAAAGGCATGAGAACAGATTGTGTAGGGAAATGGCAGCAGCTCCCATGCTGGAGACTTTTAAGAACAGATTAGAGTAACTGCTAAATGACTTAAGTAGTGTAGTTCCTGCCTTGTAATGGGTAGATTTTTCTCTTCTAACTCTATTTTTCCATGGTTATAAATTTGAATCAGCTTATATCAAATTATGAAGCATATAGACTATAACTTATACCTCAAAGAAATTGCTTTAGATACTTGCAATGTACTGTTGTCAAATTTTCTTCAATTAAGTGCCATTTTCCCAGATTGCCCCATTCCTGCCTTCAGTAGAAACTAGCAGAGAGATTTGTGGAATACCATGATGCCAGGTGGTTAGGAAGGTCTGGTATACAGGGAAATGCAGTAGGACTCATCAGTGTTGACTGGATTTCTTGTTTAGTCTTGGGAATACAAAGAACATAGGCAGATTCACTGGGGTTCTCAGTCATGTTCTCTTTCACAGAGTTGTAATCTGTGCTAATTTTTCTGCTTGAAATGAAAGAGAAGAGCACCCCTCATTTTACACTCTTCTTTCTCCAGAACACTGGCCAAGGAAAACCTGTTTGGGTATGTATTTTTCCTAGTTCAGATTTTATTCCGTGTGCCCCATTTTCAATAGGAAAAGCTTAGCAAGAGAATCCAGACTTTTCTCTTATTCTTACTCCTCCCTGGAAAACTGTTTGGTTATATATAAATGAGTAAATATTTGTTCACAAAACCAACTGGTTTTCCAGCCCAGATGTTAGTTCCAGTTTTTGAGAAACACAATTTAAAGTCCCAGCACCAACACAGGCAAAAAAATGGTGTTTCCATTGATGTCTCACATCCAGCACTCAAAGAAACAAGCTTGCTCAAACTATCATCTTCTTATATGAACATTTATTTTACACAGATTCATGAGGCACAGGAGGGATAAAGCCGCCTGGCCTGGCTCTGCAGTTTCTGCATGAGGGTGCCTGTGGCTGGACCTGAAGCCTACCTCAGTCCATTTAGCTTTCAGCTCAGCACTCAGGTTCTATCAAGCTTAGCACTGAGAATGGGGTTAAATGGCAGATGAGTATTGGGTGTGAGGCAGTCAGAGAAACCACCCAGGTAGATTTATGAATCTCAACTGCATCTGAGTAGTTCACAGAAAGTGCATTTAATTCTTACGGATATTGCCTTGCCAAGCGTGATTGAAGAAATTGCTGGCAGTTGCTCACATTGTTACTAGCTGCTGAATATACATTTATGGAGCAGCATAGCATGAATTCAACAGGCCTCTCTGGGTGCTCTAGAATGGTTCAGTTGCCTTGGTGAACAGTTACCAGTGCTTTTTAAAAGACTGGAGGTGGTAAAGAAATAGATGAGGAGCCCACAGTCTGCACAGATCTGGGCTAGAATGACTTGCCATTAGATGATGTCCACCACAGGACAGCATCCATTCAGACTTCATCCTGCACCCATTCTCTGACCTTTGAACTTTCAGAGCTCAAGCAAGGGCACTGCTGGATGAAGTCAGTTCAGTCCAGTGAACAGAACAGGGGCAGAGTTCAGACGGGTGAGAGACTTGAATGTGGCTGCAGACCAAGTGCTGAGAGATAATACATGAGTGAAGCTAATCAAGTTCTGACCAAATGCATTGCCAAACTGCAAAATAAGCAGTCCTGCTGTCAACTGAAGTAAAATTCAAACCATTATTTGATGTCAGCATGAATATTAACTGATCCATTTGCCACCTTAGCTGTACTGAGAAAAACTGACTTTTAAACCAGAAATAGCTAAAAACAAGTCAACATTTTTAATGAAAGCTTTCCTTTCAGTTCTGCTCTAATCTTTTCTAAACTATTAGTAAATTAACCTTTGATTATATAGAAAATGTGTGATTGAATGACTAAGCATTAGCCAGTAGAATTCACAACATAGCAAATTCCTAATTAGATTAAGCACTTAATTTTTTTTTTTCATTTTCATATTTACTGCCAAAGGTCCTTGGAGGGCATGATTCCTATCCCAGTGATGTACTGTGGTTTTGCTGGGTTTCCACTCTGAAAGAGTGCAGTGAATGCAGAAACCTGCAGGGGAGGATTCTTTCCCCTTTCTTTCAGTCCTGGCAAAGAAAACAGGCTAGAAATGTTGTGGTAAGGCTCTTCATCCCCCCTAAAAGCCAGTTAACACCATCTGCAAAGGGACTGTCAGAACAGGATGGCTCCTTTAGAGTTAATGCAGAGTTATATAGCTTTATAGTGACCAGGGTTTATCACAGGTATGAAGGTGTCTCTACTTGTCAAACTGCCAGACTGTGGCTCAGCAAAGATGTAAGTGAGCACAGTCCTCTAGAAGAAAGGTAGTTGTGGTTAGAAAATGGTGCATCTAGATTAATAAGCCCTGCTGTGTTGCAGGGATATATTTACTTTGGAAGGAAGAGGTTCTGCTGCAGTCATTTACTTCTGGCCAGGTCAGAGTGGGAGTAAATTGAACTTGTGCAGGACTATGTACAAACACAAGTGGTTTTGTGATATTCCCAAAGCAAGGAGAGTCACTTAACTTCTTGTCCTGTCTGTATGAAAATAATGGAGAAAGGTTTGGAGGATTGCTTGTGGAAAAAGGACCAAATTTACCACAGATATCCATGTTAAGTAGTCATTTCCCTCAGTAGGGATGGTAGCACAGATGCTGTGATGCAGGAGGAAAGTCACACCACAATGTGTGGGACAATGCTGAGCTCATTAGCAGCTTACTTGACTGATAGGTGCTTTTGGTGCTGGAACAAGCACAGTCCAGTCCCGTAGCTCTCCAGTACTGGGTGCACGTGGCTATGTGGAGCTATCATCGTGTCTTAACCAGCAAGTCAAAGTCAAGTCACACAAAATATTTTTCACACACAGAAGACACATTACCTTTAAGCTGCCAATCACGCCACCCACCAACAGATATAAGGGAATCAGTGGCTGAACTGGGCAGTCTTCCAAAAACTTCATTCCTGAACGGCAAAAATGGATGTTTGTTATCTCAAGTGACATATATTGCAACAAGCTGTACAGTGAAAACTATAGATGCTGTAAGTGAAGTGTAGCGCTTAAAGCCAAAACTTGTAGCCTGTGTCTGTTGCAATGGGGGCTGAATTAAAAGGGGGCTGCACCTCCCACTACAGGAGTGAGGGCCATGAACAAGTGAAAGGCAGGAGAAGGAAGAGAGAGTGCAAAGGCAAAACCAGCATTACTATTTTCTGGCAATACTAATTGTAGCCACATATAGAGGTCATTAGTTCAGCCACAGCTCTTTGTTAAATGAACCATTGATTGAGCTGGACAGGAAATTTTCATCAGCGGTAGAAAATGCATTGAAAATCAAAACCATGAAAAGAAGGAGTTCTGATAAGCTTCCCCCAGGATTTTCCTGCTGATTAGTTCCTATGAGTGTGGCATGTTCCTGAGTCAGATGCCTGGAAGCTTGGGAGCCAATACCCGTGGGAGCACCTGGAACCGTTTTAGCTTTCCAGGCAGCTGAGAGGGAGCTGTAGAAACTCAAGTTTCTAAGCTGTAAGGGTTGCTGGAGGATAAAAGAATTGGTTGTTATGGAGCTGAGGACCCTGGCAACCCTCAAATCTACTGCAAGAAAGAGAAAGCTGGGTAAGTTTTAGGGAAGAGAGTGTATTGCTGTGTGAGGATGTTGCTGGCATTAGAGACTGAAGCTTGTGATACAGGTCTGTGGCAGTGAAACTCATCTGTCCAAATATAGATGTCTGCAATGCAGGCATCCATATGTGAACTAGTTTTCTACACTCTGTAGTCAATAGGGAGAAATAGGCACTTGTAAAATTCAATTCATTTTTCCTAAGATAGGCATTTGAAATGGGTCGGGTAAATTGGTTCCTGAAAGCACTTCTGTCTCTCCATGGCTATACAAGAAATCCAGACAGCCAGCTGTAGATACCTATAAGTTAGCTGGGATGAATCCCCTGCCCAAGTCTCGTACCCAATGGCATCTTCAGAAGTTTTAAACAGTTCATTACCCTGTAATTTTATTGGTATTGATCCCGTGTTTCAAGGCTTTGACTGATCAGTTGCACCAGGTAGAAAGGATGTTCTGTTTTCTTCTTGCTGTATAAATGGTTTGCAAGGAGATATTCTGACTTTTCTCTGAATAATTGGGGCTGGCTAGTTGCAGGATACCAAAAGGAGTGTGCTAGTCTTAGTGCTAAACATCTCTCAGGTAGAATGACTTGCCTCCATTTTCAGAACTACACAGAGTAAGAGGAATTAGTAAAGAAGTACCAGAGGGTGGGTTTGGGGTTTTTTGGGGTTTTTTTTGTTTTTTTTTTTTTCCTTTTTTTTTTTTTTTGGGTGGGGGGGAGGGGTTGGGTTTTGTTTTGTTTTTTCTTTCCATAGCTGTAATCCTCTTTATCTTGTCAATTTGACCACCAAAGCCAGTGCTATTGCTGGTCCAGAACACCCCTGCTGTCCTGAACATCTCCTGCACTCTTTGCATGGCATAATACAGGTGCTCTGGTTTGTGGTTGCTTGTTACAGGTCTGACTTTAGTCACAGGACACGGGACAATGTTTTGTGGTCTGCAGGTTTGTGATCCCCTGTGTGTAAGGGCTGTGGAGTCCAGTGGACTATACTAAGTATTTATTACCAATCTTTGTATAAATGAAAAAGGCTGCACTTAGATGGATATTTGGACTCTCTCCCCTTTCATTCTTATTACAAAGCTATAATTTTTTGTCCATTTTGCCATTGTGTAACACTGAGACCTGCTCAGACTCCCAGCTTTACAGAGGTGGGCAGCAGGGAAATTGACACAAATTACATCATGTTCATCAGAAAGCTGCTGCCAAGGTTTCCAGTGTTCTTGACCATCTAATAGCCTGCCACAAAAGCAGCTGGCCAGGGATCACTGGGAATATATTTCAGTTTAGGAACCCAGGCAATTTCTATTTCCAATGTGTTAAATGAGATTTCAATTTGAGGGGAAAAAAAATTGAGAAAAAATGCCTTTCTTTTCTTTTCTTGTGCAGCTCTGATTCTCTTTCCCAGACAAATCTATTATGGAATCCTTTAATATTTATAACATGACATCAGTCAGTCTTGGGAAAGATTTGAGTGACAGACAGCAGCACTCTGTAGGTTTTGGGAGAATACTGCAGAGAGATGTGACAGTAAAAGAGTAGGTCAAAGCAGGTAATACAGTAATAACTTTAAAAATACACCCCAAGGTGTGAATAGGAAATGTAGACCTACAGTTGACAGATGGGCACTGGTATTTGTTACAGTGAAATCAGCAAATGTGCCAATCAGTTCTCGACATGTGTTTGGTTTATCTGGGAACACCTAAACTAGTTGGAAAGCACCAGTGCTAGCTCTTCTTTCCCATAAGCAACACATATGTTCTCCTTTGACTGCTAGAGATGGGATATATGGACTATGAGAGATCAAAGATCTGCCTCTACTGCACTGGTCCCTGCAAACCAGAGCAATTTGTGGTTCAGAGTGAAAAGCAATTGAGCCTGACCACAACACAGATCAGCACAGGAGTCTAAATGAATGAACCAAAGACCTTTGAAAGATCAGACACGGCATGAACAGCATCCAAAGGAAAAAAAAAAAGAGATGGGAGGGTTGGGAAAGCAGAGATACTTGCACATTTTACCTCTTGGCTACCATAGAACAACACTACAGTAGGACCACAGGGTCCAGCAAGTGGAAAGAGTGCTTGTGAGCAACCAGGACATGAGCTTCTCTAAGGGCATTATTTGGGGCAGTGCTCTGCCATGGCCCATAAAGGATTGCTACATATCAACTGTCCTTGTGACTCATGATTATCCATGAGATGAGGGGTCAGGACCAATGAAAATCAATACAGCAGTGGCCTCTTTTTAGCTGCTTTACTCTTCTCAGCTGAAAATGGCTGAAGTACACCCATAGGAAAGGAGGACTGCTGTATAGCAAGGCTGATCCGCTGTTTGGTGCCCACTACACAACTTTATTCCTAATGGGAGGCAGAGACCTCAACATGCCAGGTCATTTTCAGGTGTTCCTCCTGGATGCCTGCAGCCATCATCACTTAACACAGACCTCACTCAAGCCCTGACTGTGGGCCTTACACTTGGATCTAGGTGCTGCAGAGAATTTATCTTGAAGTAATTGGTTTTGGGCACCATTTTATCAGAAAGCATATCAGCAAATCAGAGTAGTGGCTGAAGGACTGGAATGCAAGGAAAGATTGTGTTAAACAACAACTGCTAAAGCATATGACCAGTTCCCACATAAAGCCATGAATATGAGAATAGGCTTCAAACAATTCTTGGGAGCATTTGAGATTTGAGGAATTTTTTGGTGTTATGATGTGAGGAGTAGTACTGGGTTAAATTTGAACAGAGTGCAATTTAGACAGCTTATTAAAAAAAAACTATGTCATCAGCTTTCAAATGTGATTTAACTACCCTTGTTGAATTTTGTATATAAAGGTACTCTGGACAACATACAAGAATGGGTTATTGAAAGTAATCCTTCATTGTCCCGGAAACTAAAAAAAAAAAAAAAAAAAAAAAAAAAAAAAAAAAAAAAATTAAATAAATCTTTATGTCTTTGGAGTGTTTAGTGACAAAAGGGATCTTCTCTGCCAGTAAAAGTGAAAAAGCTGCTAAACAATCTATGGCTTAAATGATGTCACAAGTCTACAGGTTGGAAAATATGCTGAGTCCTTTTCATGTATCTGTGATTTACAGCATTATCTAATTTTAAGAGTGTATAATGTTAGCATGTAATATTACCGGGCTGCCTGTTATTCATCTCTGAGTTTTAACAAGTATTTTATCTCACAGTTTTCCTCTGTAGGAAGCAAGAGCCAAAATAACTGGAGGCACATCAGCAAGTTTTTTTCTGAGATCATGGTAACAGAATATTATCAGAAAATCATAGGGTTTTGCTTGGAAAATAAATATATGCCTTGACATTTCATTTTCCTAAAAATACCTTTGCTGATATGGAGCTGCAGGACAACACTACATTACAGTGACATTATCTCTTAATTTCAGTAAGTTGTGGGGGAAAAAACGGCTCTGTATCTGATGCAGGAGATACCTAGAGCTCCAGGCTAATATCTTACTGTAGACTTTCCACTTCTTTGATCTTAAAGATATTGTGAAATATTCCTGAGAAATTATACTTATAAGTGATCAGATTCCAGACCTGGATTCATTTCCAGAAGGCAGGATGTCAGTATGCATGGAAACTGTGCCACATTTTGTATTATACCTTCCCATCCCTATTTCACAGCTCAGGCATATTCAGCCTGGGGAAAAGCTAAAGCTAGAATCTTCTTAAGGGATAAATAGCAATCTTAAGTCATGGGTAAGTATAAGAGCAGAAGTGTTGAGATGTAACAGTTCAGTCCATTTCCCTACTTCCTAATTGCTTCCTAATCCCTTGTTGGAACTCCCTGGTTCCTAATTAGGACATCCTAATCGAAATCCCACCATAGTCATGAGTGGTACTTTGAAAGCCCCAGGTTAAGGGAATAGCACCAACCTTTAGCTAAACACTTATTATGTGGGTTTGGATAACTATCCATGCCAATGAGCCTGGTGTCCCAACTGCCTTAAAAGTCACCTCATCTCATGGCAGACACCTAAGAGAGGGTGTAGGAATTTCACTGTCAGGAATGTCTATTTATTTCCCTTAACAGCCTGCAAGGACAACATGCAGTGCTCAGCCTGGCTGTGGATGCACACAGTCCGAGTCTAGGTGGGATGCAGCTTGCCCTCAGCATCTGCATCTGGAGTTCCTTTAGAGGAAATGGGTTGGTGCAGAGAGACCATGTTTCATTTTGAGGTGTGTTTACAGAAATCCTGCATGTTAAACAGAGGAGCTAATTACTCTGCATTGCTCATTCCTCAGGTCTCAGCTGGAGGCCTGTGTTACATCATTCTTTTATTAATAAGGAAAAATACTTACATTGGCCAGAGGTCAAAGGAAGGAGGCAAAAAAAAAAAAAAAAAAAAAAAAAACTACAGAAACAGTGACCTGTGAGGTCAGGATGAAAGAATTAGGTTTTTAAGACCTCTGGGAAAACAAAAGAGAAGATGGAGCAGGGTTATAATAGCAGCCTTCAAACAGTTGAAAGGATCTCTTGAGCAGGACAGTGACCAATATGTTTTTGTGCCCACAGTGGGCAGGACAGGATGTAATCTGTTTAATTTGCCATAGGGAAGATTTAGGTTGGCTATGGGGAAAAATATTTTGTCTTTGAGAGCAATAAAATGTTGAAATAGACTCCTTGGGAAGCCATGGAATTTCCTTGAGGAAGGACAAGTTAGACATCTGTCAGGAATGCTGTGAGAACATGAGCCCATCTGAAAGCAGAGGTGGATTGGTGTCTCCACTGGTGTTCCTCAAGTGGGGTTCACAACCCATATGAAGGATGTGAAAGGCCCAAAGGGAGCCTTATAAAGGGAGTGTTATAGAAAAAATAAAGATCTGTGTTAATGGTAAGGGAAGGGTGATGCTTAAGGAAAGAGGGGCCTTATGTAGTTTAAAAAGGTATAAAATTGAGCAGCTCAAAAGATTTTCCTTTCTTAAATATTTGATCTTGAAATGCTACTCACAAATCCAGCCTTCAAGGGGTTATACAGAGACAGATCAGCCAAAAACCAGGTCTGACTTTCAAAACGGTGGAGAAATAGCAGCCTACAGCATCTCTTTTTCCCTTCCAGCACTATGCTTCTACGATTTTTTGCAGTGTAGTTAATACAGAGGGATCCTAAGTAATTAAATCTTCTCAGGTGTCAGATTCTGAGCTTCCTCCCACAGACAAAGCTGGGTTTTGAGGTAAAACACACTGGAGGGGTTTTTAAGATAAACAGGGCCAAAATTCAAGTACTTCTTCCTCCCTGATATGGAGTGTGGGCTGAGATTCTGTCTGAAGCTGAAGTACCAAGACAGGGGTCTAACAGTTGGAAACCCTGATTTTTCCAGTTCCTTTCTTCCACCAGATATGTTAAACTGCCACAGAGTACCAGGAAGTTTCTATTTACAATTTACTTTAGAAGTCAACTTACCTATAAAAGTCATGGACAGTGGTAAGGCAAGGAAAGCGAGGAGCCCAAATATAAAGCATGCTGTGAAGGAGAAAAAAAAAGACAGTATTATATGGGCTAGTTCAGGTTTAGAGGCCAGCATTTCCATCCAGTTCTTTACAGATGCCCTGTATTCACACAATTGTGTAGGAAGAAATGCAGTGCACTTGATGGAGTGGGAATATCACCTGCGTGGTGCAGCATTTTCGGTGATGGGACCAGCACATGTTTTATCACTTCCAGGACGCAGTGAGAGACTCAAACTGCTTTTGCAGCTACTACTTGCAGCTTGTCTTAATCCAAGGGCAAGGAGTCATCCACTGCTGCCTTATCCTGCATCCTTTTCAGAGGCACTGCTAGGCGACTGTGCAGTAACAAGTAATTTTGCATCAGCTAATCCATGGCAACTGATGAGCCATATCTGTTTGCTAAGGAAATAGCAGCTTTAAAGCCATTCTACTTAGTTTTCACTGATAGCTAAATAAACTGTCATTCTCACAGATGTGGATAGTTTCTGGCTGGTCTAACTTTCTGACCCAGCTTAGCTCATGAGCACAAAGGCAGCAGCCCTGCTGCAAGAAGTGGGATTTGTCACTGGGATAGATCAGCTTATGCTTTGTGGAAGGATGCTCTTAGGGGTGCACATTAACTCTCCCTGCAGGCGAGTGGACCTGAGGGGCTTACTTACTCCCTAGAGGCTGGTGGTATATCTGAACCCTGATGTTTCCCCTGCACAGCCAGGTGCTGCAGAGGATGAATGCTGACCTTCACAGTGGGTGAGGGACATGAGCATCTAGGACAGTGTGAGCACCCTATCTCACAAGAACTGTCACCTCTGTGCCTAATCATGAACACTTGGCAACGTTAAAGTAAAACACTGCCCTGCCAAATGAGAGTAAAATATAATGAGAACATTCTGTGGCAGGTGTCCTTTCGGAGCCCTTCCAGAAATTACTCAGGCTGCAAGTGGGTGCCTAAGGGTGCCACAGTGCAGGTGGGCAGAGATTGCAGAGGGGATGAGAAGAGCATGGATAAGAAAAGGAGTAGGACATCTCCTTGGAGGCTTGCTAAAAAACATTTTGGAGCAAGTATTTGGAGTTGGCTTGGGACCAACCCTTTCCCCAGGTGAACTGTGTCCTGCAGTTCCCCATGCCAGAGAACTGCAACCTCTGCAAGGTGCATGGTGTCCCCCAGCCTTGCAGGAGCAGGGACACTGCCAGCACCCTGCGGACAGTGCCGCTCTGGAAAATTCTACAGCACTGCCAAAATACCACCCTTAGGCTGCCTTAGAGAAAAAAGGGCAGCATCACTGCCTCTGTTTTACAGAAGGAGAAACAGAGAGGACACAGGAGCAGCATCAAAATTCAGAGCAGATCCACCAGGCTTTCTGAGTCACAGACACTTTTCATGGGAACACACCATCCCCCACACACTGCTCATATTTTCTCCACAGAGAACCAGGATCTTACACTTAAGCTCTTGAGAGACATCTTTCACAGAAGTAGCATGTTTGTTATCCCTATGAACTGGGAGAGACTGAGGGTATTTTGAGCTGAAGAAAGTACTTCTGTTCCTTTGTGCTACCCCCTCCTCCTTTCCCTGTCGGCCAGTCTCCCCAGCCTCCCCCCCACCCCCCGCCCCCCGCCCCACCACCACCTCTCTCTCTCTCTCATTTTTGCTCAGACTCCTATCTCTTGAGTGCTGCATAATACAGAAATTCTTCCTCTGCTTGAATAGTGTCCTACACTTGACTAATCTCTTTCAACCACTGACAGCCTCTCATTAGAACAACTCAGCCTAGAGCCTCCCTTTTCACCGCATGTCACATTTTGTGCTAGCTCCTCTTGCTGTTATCTAGACTATTCTTTCATATTAAGAAGCGATGTTATTGTAAATGAGTTGGGCTTCCAAAACAATTTGTGGACAAACAGTGCCCACAGGCTGGGCAACTCATTTATCTGGTGCCCCATGGGGCGCCGCTCAGGTCTGCAGGCACCGACTGCCTGGTGTGGCCACATGTGCTGTCATTGCAGCGCAGCCCTCGCAGCGACATCACCCCTCTTGCTGTGGTTTCTTAGCTGCCCCCTGTCCCTGCCCGTGCTGCACGGGAGCGCTCGGGAGCCCGGGAGGAGGAGGAGGAGGAGGTATCGTGTCATTTGTGAATTGTGCAGCGCCTGTTCCGCCTGACCCCGGGGAGAGACGCTGCAGTAAGCTCTGAAAAAAAGCTCCGGGGGCTCGTGTGCATGTGAGGCTGCACATCTGGCAGACAGGTGTCCGTGTTTGCTTGTGTCTGACATCTGCCCAACAGCCCGCTTTTGGAGGGGAGAAGTGGGAGGTAGAGACCACTCAGAGCTCAAGAGAAAAAGATAATGCTTCATTAATTCCGCTCCCAAAGCAATCGCTGGGAATGTATTTACTCATTATCTCCCCATTCAGCTACAGCCTCTTAGGTCTCGAATTGGAGGGGCAGATGCATAGTCTGGGAAGGCTTCCAGATCCATGTTTAACAAAGTGAGGCTCTTCAACAATTGCCCACACAACTGGCAGGGCTCTGCAGCCACTCTCAGTGTCGCTAGCAGCGCTAAAGACCGATTTTCCCTAAATGTGTCGGGCTTTCACAGATATGCCGCTCAGCTGGGACACACGCATTCTCTGCCTGGGTTTGTCTGGGCTGTGCTGCCCCGTTCTGGTCCGAAGACAAATTGCTTCAGAAAATGGTACTTGCCGCAGGGTAGCACGGCTCAGCAGGCAGGTCCACTTGTGGGGTTTTTATGGCAGTGATATCGCCTCACAGGCTGCTCAGAGAAGCCCCTGGCCCCATTCCTGGAATAAGCAGCAATAAAGGGCTGGTAGTCTCTAAGAACACAACACAACTAGGCAAGTGCTTCCAGGCATGCCTTGAAAGGGTATTTTTTCCATGAAGCTGGTGCCGGGGCATCAGGCAGGAGAACTCACTGCTCTGTACTATCATGGCAGCGCCTGCTGGGGCACTGGTGATGTCCTGCTGTGGAACCCTAGCATGCTGGAAAATTGATGGAGGGAAGAGCTCACGTCTGGGATCACAACAGAGAAAGAAGAGAATAGGTGGCTGAGTATCTTGCACACACCTTGAAATCTGTGGTCACAAAAATTAGATCAGTGGGTGTAGGTTTTGGATCTCCTTCCCGGGAGTACATTCAGCTGATATAAATCTGCTGTTTGGCTGAATTCCTCTTGCCAGGATTTCCCCACAGAAGTAAGCACACTTGAGATCACTGTTGACATTTTGGCTGTATGTCATGGTCTCTCTCCTGTCTGATGCCCGATCCTTTGCATCTTCCACAGCCATGCCCCTGCACCGCAGCTGTCCTCCCAGTCCTCTGCTACTCTCTTGTTGTGCCTGGCCTCGGGACATGCAGCCTGTTGCCCTCTGGCATTTGCTTGGGACCTGGAGGCAGTATTGTAAGGGACACCAATTCACCCGTGGGCTCCTCAGAATTTATTTTGCTGCCACGAGTTTTCCAAGCACTTGGAAATTTCAGATCACCTCAGGCTGTCCCTATTTACTTTGAAGAGAGAAAAAAGTTTCTTTTCAGGTAAGAGTCTTCACAGGATTTTCAGAAGTGATTTATGAATATCAGTCTCAATCTACCTACTCTCCTCAGTAGTATGCTAATACAGCTGTAGTGTGAGCTGCTCAGTAAAGTGGCAAGCTCTCTGATAATAAATACAGTAATAAATGAAGTGTTAGTTGTATTACCATCACTCCTAGGTGCTATTTGTTCCTTAGTCTGTCAGGTTCTGGATTAAAAAAATGATTTTTTTTTTTTTTTAACAAGATACTACCAGTTTCCAAACAGTCTAAAGTTACCCCAGGATTTATCTGCATGAGCAAGCTGAGGAGCAAAACTCTCTGTGAAAATTCACAGTATGCCCTTTGGACAATACCCTGTGGGAATGCTGCTCTGAAGGGGCCTGACTCTCAGCAGTCTGGGTGTTAGGAAATTTGGGTCAAATTCAGTTGGCAGGGTCCCATGCCTGCTGATGCCCTGAGGCAGATGCAGATGGTGATGCAGTAGTTTAGCGAGCAGTGTCACAGTGTGCTGCACTGCAGCATGGGTGGTGTAACAGGCTGGAGTGCAGATGGGGAGCAGGTATTTTCATCCACGTTTTATTCCTTCATGGCACCTGCAGGCATCCCCTGCAATACTGATAGGAACTTGGAGCAAAAAAAGAATCCAGCCTGTGAAGGTGTTGTGGTGGCAGAGAAAGTCTCAATGGATCTTTCTGAGGAATCAGCCCCAGTAAGATCCTATGTTTTACACACCAGGGATGAGTCTGCCCAGGATTTTGGTAGCTGTGATTTCTGACTTTCTGTGCTTTCAAGCCATAGGAAAATGTCACTATTTCAGATGGGATATGCAGAAAAGACTTGAATGAACTGACACGAAGGAAAGGAATTAAATCTGTTCAGCTTGGCTGGCCACCACCAAATAAGGAAATAGCAGCAAGGCTTGAGCACTCAAAACCAGGCCTGTGAGTGATCCAAAGAGTAGAAACATGAGATATCCTTGAGCAAAACCAAAGACTTCTCTGTTCATGAGGCTAAATGCCATAGCAAGGATTCCATCAATTGCTGGAATAGTCTCTGGGGATGAATGGCAGGAATCCCATCCCTGGCATGATTTAATCTCTTGACTAAAGTGAGTACTCAGAAACTGGAAGATTCAGGGTAAGGAACAGCCATTCCCATGGAGGCCTCTAGGTCCAGTGCAAAGCCACCATTTGAGGCAGGGGAAGTGTGAGGAAACAGACCAAATCCCAGCTCAGTGTCACCAGCTGTTTACTGTGTTCCATCACTCTTTGCTTTGTCAGGGTTGAATTACTGTGATGTAGAACTTTGGTACCCAGATATCAGCATCACATCACCTAAACTTTATGTCCTAGGTGTAGGTGCTTTGAGGGTTGAGCAATATTACAGAGTGTCTAGCCTGAATTGTATATTATGCCTCTGGATACTGAACTACAGTTACACCATCGTCTAAATTCTGGATTTGGCCCCTTGTGAATAATTTCCAGAAGTAATTTTATAACAATATTTAGGCATTACATATTGAGCCATTCAGTTTGCATTTGCAGTAGACCCAGGGGAGTGAATTAGGGTTTTTTTATTTTGATCAATAAATTGAAGACTGAACTTAAGTTGCTACACCAAGAATGAAAAGATGCTCCACAGGTGGGTTGGCTCTTGAGAGTTATTTAAATACCAGGAGACCAAAGGTACAGCTGTGGATTTTGCTGAAAAGCTCTTTGAAAAATAAATACAAGATGATGACGAAAAGTGAAATTAAGCATTACTGCATTTCATGAGGGCTTTCATTTTAATGAATATAAAATCAATTTTGGATGCATTAGCTGATCCATAACTAATGCTGAGCTTATTTTGAACTTAAGCATGATAAGAACGTGAAGATACTTTCCTGGAATGGTATCTCTGAGTTCCTCACTCATGGGTAACTTTTCAGCTACCCAGGAGGGTGCTTCTGGTGTAGAAGAGCATAGGTGAGATCAGAACTAATCCAAATCTTTTAAAAAAAATTCTAAAGGATTAATTATTTACTCTCTCATCATTGAAGTTCCAGTGGTAATTTAATTACAGGGAATAGTAACATTTTGCTTGTAGACACTAGGAACAAAAATCAGAGAAAACACCACTTTTGACCTTTTAAATTGTGATATTCACCAATGAGTCCAGATCCTCCCTGCATGTCTTTTCTGCAGGACGTGAGGGATCCCACAGGGACCAGCTGGGTCCGAATTCCACTTGCAGGCACTTGTCAGGGTGTAATGAGGGTGCATGCTCTGCACCCCCTAAAGATAATGTTTTGCATCCCTCCCCAGCCCTCCTTTCCCCTGGGGAAGTGACAAGCACGAAAAAGTAGGCCAGAAAATATCCTCTCCTTCCCTACCTGTGTCAGGTTTCTGCAGGGAGACCTGGACTGAGCTTTCTGTCCCTTTGGCCTGATTTTCTCTGCCAGGTTGTAAGACAGCAAGGAGTTGAGGGATTTAATAATTAATAAAAGTTCATTCTGAGTTTTGAGAGCCTTTCAGGCAAAGCAAAGATCAGGAATATAGAAGACTCCGAGGTAACACCCTAGACTGGCAAATGCAGCAATAGTGTGGGTGAAGTATCAGTTATGAGGAGTGGTCAAGGGGTTTGCTGCTTCTTGTATTTGAGTGGAATTAGAAATTGCTACTGCCAAGAAGTGAAAGCAAAATATCACTTTCGTGTTTGCAAGTTTCCATTGCAACTCAAAGAGAAAAGGCAATAGAGTCAGCAGGAGTAAACTGCTTTAATACTCATGGATTTTAACCTCCTGATGAAGACATTGCTTCCCTGATCTTACAAAACCCCACCTCTGAAGTGTATTTCTCCTGTGCCTCAGTGCAGCTTGCACAGCCTCAGCCCAGGTCAACTTTCTGCTGCATTGCTCCTCGGAGGGCAAGAACCAGTCTGTTCAACCAGCTGTCAGCTCATTACAGCCCTCTGAGTCCTCCACCCTGGGTGGGGAGAACCAGTTGCTTTAAAACCTGAGCAAGCCCAGGCTGTCATGCAAAAGAACTCTGTCCAGACAACTGGTGCTTCCAGCCCACAGCAATGGGCTGCTTATGGGGGATACCCCCACCTGCAATGGCCCTTGTGCCAGGGAGCAGGCAAGCAGAGGGAAGAATAACCTGTCCCAGATCTCACTAGGTGAAAGGGAGGATATTCCTGACCATATTCCATCCCCAGACTTGCGTCCCTGTGCCATCACACAGGTTAGCAGAAGTTTTGCTTGGCGGGAATTGCTCCTAGGAGAGTTTGTTCTCAGGCTGGCTGTGCTGCTCTTCACAAGGTGATTTTCCCTGTGGATGCTTCTGCATGCACTGCATGTGTAAGGCAACACTTCAGAGAGGAGGCAAACACATTCTTTTGCTTAGGCTGTTGCTGTCCATATTTAGGCACAGGGTGGTGTTTGTTTGAAATTTTGTGCTGGTTGCTATACTTCAAATACTGCAACAGGCAGCTGCTGTCAGGGTAGAGTTACTATTGCACACTCCATCAGTTCCCAAGGAAAGGAAAGGAAACTTCAGTGGAAGATTCAAGTGGGACTTGGTACCATCGTGATTCCTTTATATACTTGGCTTAGCAACAGGGCTGCTTAAATACACGGGGCAATGGCTACCAGAACTGCCTTACCATTGCTGGCAATTTTAGATATGCAGCGGTGGCAGGCTTTCTCCAGGCCAGCAGCCATCGTGGTGAGCCTTTTGGGGTGCCTGTGGAGACAGAGAAATCAATATGGCTCTCAGAAGTGTCTTTACCTTACTAAGTATCTTGACTCAGAGTACTCACACATGCTGACAGGCTTTCACTACCCTCAAAAACCCCAAGCATGCACAAACCCAGCCAGCAGCAGGGCAAACCCAGAGGCAGGAATGCCTTCCAGCAGCTCCATGCTTGCCTGCTGGTGATGATGCTCGAGCCCCGGGGCATGGGGAGGCTGGGGGAGAAGTATTAATGTCATCTTCCTGAAAACTGTGAGAGGTTCTATCTTTACTTTGATTTGGTTTCAGGCAGAACAAAGAGTATTTAAATGTTAGGAGAAAACCCAGGGAAACAGGTGAGGTTTGCTACACAAACCTCAGCAAGAATTAAGTAGCAAGCAAAAATGAATTAAAGAAAAATGGTAGAGAGAAGATGAAAAGAGTTTTAAGGTCAAGGAGGATTCTGAAGAAGAATATGGAATAAAAACTGCAAACCACAGGGAGCCCAGAACAACATGCCTTTGACAGAAAGGTAGCTGTATTAGAAAGTAGCTCCTTGTAAAGAATTTTTACAAGGTGGGTTGCGGGATGAGCAAGCAGACAGGCATCCAAGGTCAGGCCTCAGACAGCACCAGAGAGTTAAGTAGCATTCCACATCACTGGGAGTGTGGAAAGCTCACACACACACACACAGAGACAGACACACACACACTCACACACACTCACTCACACACACACACACACACACACACACACACACACACACACATACACGTGCTCCAAGCCTCAGCTTCTGGCCAGGGTCACCACAAGTCTGCAACCACCAGCAGCTGTGTGACAGAGGAAGGTGTGTGTGGAGGAGGCCAGGATAAGGGAAGCTGCATTCCTGAACCTACCTCAAAATAGCCTCTAGATTTCTTAGTGGTTAGAGAGCAGTATTTTAAGCTTAGCCTCACTGTGTTCTAAGTTGACATGAGATCCACCGTAGGGTTTTCTTGTGCAACGCTGTGTCCAGCTTGGCCCAGAGCCTACTAGGGACCATGGGGTCCCAGGCACGTATTGAAAATAAAGACAGACTTGTTCAACCACCTGATCCATGGTCATACCCCTCTCCAAAGTCTGTCCAAGCCCTACTAGTCATGGCTGAGCAGAGGAGACTGTATCCAAGCCCAGACAGGACCCTCTGCTGCCATGGGGAAGGGGATGAGGTTTGCTCCTTGCACAATGGCATTGCAGATTCTGTTTCCTGGCAGTTAATAGAGGCTGGGTGAATGACCGAGCAAGAGTCAGGGACTTTCGGAGGCAGAGGCTTTCACAGACATCCCACCAGATCAGTAATCCTTGCAGGCAGCAGCCAGCCACCAACATATACATCCAGGTTTCTAGTGTGCCTGATCTCAGTAGATGTCTCACGGAATTTAGCTCTCCTTTTCTAGCCCTCATCTTCATATCCCAGAGGATATCTCCATCAGTACTGAATGGAAATTACATATGAGTGCCTGACCTCTGGTGAGTGCATGTGTCTCATACCAGCCACGAAAACCTCCTTCATCAGAGCAAATACTGTTGCCTATGGGCTGCAACTATTGATGAGCATTTCAAGGAAAAAAAATAAGCACTGTCGCATGCTCAGGGAAAACAGAAAGGAAGAAGGGAAAGTGGTACTTTTCCCAGCCAAATGACATATTAACTTTAAAGCTTTCAGTGCAGGTTTCCTTCTAGAAGATGCACAAACAGGCATTCATTTCGCATCTGGCAATGGCTGCTGACAAAGGTGTTCTAAATCATGCATAGATTGGAAATATTAGTCTTTATGTAAATGTTTTGACTAAAATTACTTTTATAGAAGGAATTCTATATTAATATGTGATTAATATCACATATTAATCCAATCAATCCAATGCCATATTAAAATCAGTTAAATATCCAATTATCTTAAGCAGAATTTATTGTGGCTGGGAATGCTGTATTTCCGTAAGCAGAGGGTAAAACGGACGTTTTGTCTTTGTTTACTGCTCTTTTACACTAAAAGAAAACTGGAGGAGGACTCGGTATCTGGGAGCATGTCACCACCTAGTGCCAGAGCCCAGAAGTGACCGTGATTCAGAGCTCTGCGTGTGCGGTTCTAACAGGTGAGATAAAGAAAGCAATTTCATTATGGCTGTGCACAAGGCGTGTTCACACAAGAACACAACACACAAAACTACCAAGTAATGGTTTCAGTTCTTCCTCAGATGTTGGCTTGGACTTCTCCAGGACTGACAAATCCCTCAGAGAATTCATTCTATTTGCCAGATAAAGAGGTGTTGCCCCGTACCCCCACACATTTGACAATTCTGCAGAAGCTGCTGTGGGTGTTAAGGATGAATTATTTTCTTTTGTACCAATGCGTGAGAGTGCTAAAGTGCAATTCAGCAGCCAGGCAGCTGCAGAATGGTTTTGTTTCACAGCTGAAATAGGGAAATTGTCACTGAAACTCACAGGAAACTGAAATTGGCACAGCACAAAGACTGGCGCCTTACAAGGGCAGGAAGATATCCTGCCCCACTGTACCTGCTCCCAGTTTGATAGTGAGTTGGAAAAGTCATATGAAAACCATAAAACTCAACCAGGGAAAAAAAAAAAAAGATGAGGACCAAAGGCAACTTCTGGACCTCCTCCCATCAGTCCTTCTCTGAGTTTGTTTCCCCAGTGGAAAGGGACCTGCCCTTGGGTTCGAAGGGCCAGCAAGCACCAGGGACAAATCTCTGAACCCCTTGCAGGAGGCTGGAGCCTCTCCATAGAGCTGCTTTTTAGGGTGGCAGGTTGCAGCTGAGCCACACTAGAGTCACAGCACCCCTGTGCCTCTTCCAGGCTGTCCCATACTCCTCACTGAGTGCCCTCAGTGCTGGTGGTCAGCAGCCAGGTTTGTCCCCCTGGAACACATGCTGTGTGTCAGATTACTGCCTCCTGTTGTAACTCAGTTCTTTGCCCCTTACAAACACAGTGATAAGTGTGTGTAGCATATACCCTCCAGCCTGTTTCCTTTGTTATTTCAGCTAGTTTTAGCTTTAAACTATTTTTCTGGTCGTTATTCTCATCCTAAATGTTTCAGTAACAGGAGTCAACACTGACTGATAGCACTGACTGACTAGTGCATGCCTGACCTTACAGCAAAGCCAAAAGACAACTTCGGGCTGGCCCCACCGCGTGTCAGTCCAAACAAGAGCCACTTTTGTACTATGGTGTTCAGACTTTTCAAATTGAGCTCTTCTCTCTCCCAGATGCAGGTGTCCCACTCTACACCGGTGGACACAGCAGGCAGAATTGGTGGGGCTTCCTAAGATCCCAGTTCCCGCTTGACGGCTTCTGACTGACAGGCATCCCTGCTGGTACACGGGAGGTGTACACGGACCAGCAAACCCCTCTGGAACAAGCTCTTCTCTAAGGACTGCTAGAGGGAACAATTTCTTTTTATTTTTCTGAAATATTCAGAGCAAAGTCCTCTTCCAGATCCAGTTTCCTAACAAACCACAAAGCCCCACGCTGGCACGTTGTCCAGTTCCCAGCAAACCCCTCTTACCTGAGAGCGCTGTGAACGCCAAATCCCTTCAGCTGCACGGGTGGAGATGGGGCAGAGGAACGGCGAAATCCAACCTTGGGCGGCAGCCAGCTGGGAGAGCTCTCTCTGGGACCCCGGAGCTCTGCTCGGCTCCCTGCGGCTCTGCCGTGGGCGCTGAGGCGCGGAGCGGGGCTCGCTGCCTTTTATTCCTCCTGGCCTCCCGCTCTCACAGCGCTCGACGGCAGCACCGTGGGAGCTGTGGGATGCGGGAGCGCTTGCCGGCGGAGCCCATCCTCATCGGTTTCCCCACTCCCACGGCTGGCTGGAGCCACAGCCCACCCTGTGCCGTTTCAGGGTGACAGCAGGGGGAAGCAAAGGACCCCACACAACGGTGACTGTACAGGAGGAAAAAAAAAACCAAACAAAAAAACCCAAAAAAAACCACCAACAAAAAAACCCACCAATAAATTTCTTTTGCTACGTCTTTTATTTTAGAGGGAAAAAAAATATTTATTCAGAAATCAGTAGAGAGTGTTAAGTATTTGGTTCGTTCTTCATTCAGTTCCTCCCCCTTCCCCATCAGTGCAGCTGACAGAGCTCTTTGCAAACTGCCACTGTACCACCTTAGCTGTTGGCTCGTTTATGTCTTGTGTCACCCTGCAGAGTGCCATCTATTTGTTAGGTGGTTACCTGCTAGGTCACCTTCCCATCAGCAGGTGACCATCTGGCATCTCAGGTGTAATTATAGGTATGGGTAATCTGCTGGAAAGCCCTTGTTCTGCACAAAAAAAAAAATAAACCAAAAAAAAAGTGTGTTTGAGGGAGAGAACTTCTGCAGGAGGAGTGACAGCATTAATAAAGATTGATGTGTATTTTGAGTCCATTCAGGAAGGCCCTGCAAGAAAGAAAAGGTTACCTGCTTCATTAGTCACCAACAGGGAGCTGACAAAGTGCCAGCTCCAGCTCAGAAGGTGTAATTCTGCCTTCAGCTGCCAGGTTTGCACAGTTCATCACCAATAAAACTCCCACTGCTACACATTTTCCATTAAGAAAATGGATGCACACTGGGTCAGCTGAGGTAAAGAAAATGATGGTGTTTGATGGGTAACTTTGCATGCTGTTGGGCCAGCACATGCACAACCACAGCCACAGGCTGGTTCTTACACTCTCTGTGCTTTTCCTTGCAGCAAGGTCCAATATGCTGGCAAAAGCCCTGACCTTGTGGTGGCGTGACTGCCACCAATCAGGCCGTAGCCTTGCACAGTGAAAATTTCAGTGGAGGAAGTTTGGCAGTGAAGCAGAAGGTCAGACTTTGGCCTTTATCCATTGCACTGAAGCAGGGGTTTATTTGAGACCCTAGACAAGGAAGCCATGGACTGTATAGGCAATGAAGGGAGCAGGGAGACACTTCTGGAAGACTCTGGTGCTCTCCACCAGTGCTGGAAGAGGCACAGCAGGAAGAGACTGGGACACACCATCAAAGTGGCCAAACTGGACAGCTGGGCTTTCTGTGCTCCTAGTTCTTTTTTCCATCAGTGTAATAGAGCTGCTTCTTCCAGCAGAGAAAGCTGTCTTTCTAGCAGTTATTCCCAGGCCAGTGCCTGGCATTAGGCATCAGCAAGGATTTAAGTTGTGTCCAACATCACTGCCTGCTTTTGGGGTGCTTTTTCTCACCCTTCATGAAGGTCTGAGGCAAGTGTAGTTTGCCTGTGTCTGCTGAGGTGATGCCACAGGGTCACACATCCTAACCAGGGGCATTCCAGCTTCTGTACTGCTCTTCTGATGACTGCTGAGGTCCTGGGCTGAGCTAAGAAAAGGGACTCTATAATGCAGTCACCAAAGGCACAAGCCAGAGCATGCTCTCCTCAAACACAGCCCTCCGCTCAGACCAGAAGGGACTTTTACATCCCCACATAATACACAATTGGGATTTTTTCAACAGTTGCCTTTTTGGAAGGGGTTGCACCTCACCATGAATTTTCCTGGGTACATAATGGTTAGCATGGAGAGGAAAAGGGCCATGTAGAGATGCTGTCTCCTTTCCAGTTTGTGTTCATGTTCAATTTATATCCACCCTCCAAGTAAGGTGAGCACTTTTGCCACAGGGCCTTCTCCTAACTTGATGACTCAGAAGTCAAAATCAACATAGAAATAGTCCCCCATCTCCTACATAATTTTTTCTTTTCAAATTGGAAGAGTCTGACTGTTTTTGTAAATGCTGGATGCAATCACTAATGTTATATTTTCTTGTATAAATTATCCTTGTGTATTGAAATATAAGCAGCCAGTGGGAAAGAAATTCAGCGTACATTTCTTTCACTGTTCAAGGCAAAAAAATGTGTACTTATCTGCTGAGAAATACTCTGCTTGTGCAGTGGAAAGCAATCATCAATACCAACTTTCCAGCATTTTAATGATCGCCTGTGGGAATCCTGGAAATTATAACATTCAATCATCGCAAGAAGATCATAGAAAAAAATAGCAGGGACCAAGAGCTCCTGTGGCAAGTGTAGCCAGTGTTGACAATGACATTTAGTAGTACCATTAAATTTCTTGATTCTGGTGTCTTTGAAGGAAAATTTTAAGGCAGCCTTAGGAAGATACTGGGACTAGAGGTGCTATTGATGTAGTGAGTCCCTGTGTGCCCAGCCCGAAGTCCCCCAGGCTCTGAGAGCCACAAGGTGACCATGTCCATCCCCTGGAATGGTCTGGAAGCTGCAGAGCTTGGTGCAGGGCAGAGGCTGTGAAATGCTTCCACCTGCTGACACACACAAGGTCAGGCCAGGCACTTTCCTCTCATGTCCATCACTGAGAAAATGGTTTGTGTGGCTGTCACTCTAAATTACAGTGCCAGGTGAAGCCTACTGCTGTGGGTGTTTCAGTTCCTTGGCTTCTTCCCACATGACTGTCCTGGGGAAGGGATGTTTACGTGCTAGTCTCCATGGCAGTTTACTTGGCAATGCCCAAGAGGTAAGGCAGAAAATGAGAAAATATCAGACTGTCTGCTTCACATTTTCCTTTACGCAGGACAATTTATCACAGTGTGATCGAGGCCTAACAAATAGAGAGACAAAAGACAAAGTGTGCTGGATAACCTCCAGGGAGAGTAACTTTAATAAAGTCTAGTGAGGGATAGCTGCTCATGTTGCAGCTTTCACTCAGTCTGCTTATTCAGAGGGACTCTTTTTCTACTTTAAATATGTATCACACAAGCAGACTAGGACAAGATTTTCCTTGGTTTGATAGGACAGATTACAAGACACAAAGGAAGCAGCTGTGGCTTGGTATCCCTGCTAACCTCCAACCCCAGATGCCATAGGATAATCCTGGGAAAGTAACAACAGATAACTTTTATTACAATTATTACCCAGGTTCCCTGGATCCATAGCCGTTGTCCATCCGAGGCCTGATAATGAGGTAGATGTCCTCACCTCATTTGCTTGTATCACTGAGTTTTCAATTACTCTATCAAATTCAATCAAAATTGGCAAATAGATTTGCAAGATGTTAGAGGGAACAACTGGACAGCAGAACCCAGGGCAACAAATGCACATGGTGTGTGTCCATAGAAAGACAGGCTAAATAAAAAATCCAGTGCTCAAAAAGTTAGTAATGGGGTTACTTCCTTAGGAATGTTTGCTGGTTTCCTATAGAAAAAAAATAGTCAAAACAAAACAAAACAAAAGTTTATTTCATTTTTATTGAATGGCATTTATCAGAGATTGTCTCTCACTGGTAGTTTGGGAGGTAAACCTGTGTGTTGTTCTGTGTAGAGAAAATTTTCCTTTAAATAATAAATACTTTTCTTTAAAAATTCCAGTCCTCTGTTCCCCTGCTTATCCATCAAAGTAACAAATAACTCAAATTAATGTGAGCAAAATTTACCCACAAGCCCAAAAATCCAGTACTCTTGAAACCTGCAGTAAGGGAAAGTGGAATTACTAAAAATATAAAAGCCAAATCCCCCATTGAAGTCCATGTATTCTTTGTTTACGGCACTACAGAGTGTGCTAGGCAAATGTGTAGAGTTTGCAAAACCCTTTGGGAATCCCTGAAAAATGAAGTGGGGGATAAAAAGATTAGCTCCTCACACAGGGGCATAATAAAGTTGCTGAACATTTCTGTCTTAATTGTGCTTCGTGGTAGAGTATAAGGGAAAGTTACCACAGCTGAATAAAATGCAAAACTCTCCTAGCAGCAAAATGCCTCCTTTAATATAACAGCAGGAATATAAACCTCTCACTTATAAGATATAGTTGACAAAAAAGGCTTATAACTCACAGAGATTTTACATGGAATGAAAAATCTTAAAAGCCTATAAAGTATACTGTTCTTGAAATATGATAATCTAAATCAGCACTTTAATTTGCACTTCCGCATATCAGAGTTAATATTCCCATTGCATACGGACATAATGAAAAGTGCTGTTCCATTGACAACAGAAGATAACATTGTGTGGTTTCATTTTTCTATTTCTTTTCTCACTCATGAAATATGCCTTTTGCCACCTTTCAGTGCATTTGTCCTCCTCAGCTGGAGGATTGTGAACCATATTTAACACTGTATCTGTTCAACACAACTGAAAAGTCTAACCCTCCAAAAGGGAGGATCACATTCCCTACTTGTAGCCTTAACTCATGGGAAACAGAACCATATGTTTGCTGTAGAGTAATTGTGGTGAATGATATGGAGAAAAAGCAGGAATACCACAGAACAGTTGAGCGACCACAAATGAGCCAGGATGGAGTTCAGTGCAGTATCAACATGTGTGGAGTGAGGAGTCTTCATTGCAGTTCTCCAAATATGTGATTTTTGGGGGGAAAAAAATAGAGAAAAAATAAAAAGCTTTCTGTGCAGATGAGCTGAGAAACAGGATTTTGTTCACTCTCATTAATGGATCAACCGAGAGTCAAATAGAGATGTCTACACAGGAATTCCCATTAGGGTCTGCAGAGAGGGTCTGATAGGGTCTGATATGGTTCCCTAAGTGCTTCCCACCTGGCCCACACAGAAGGATGTAGGTCTTGCCTCTCTGGCCCTGGACAGAGGGGTAATTGAGAGCACCTCGAGCAGTTCTAGAAGCCTGTATTTACCTGAACAGTTCTTGCACTGGCTCCATCTGCACTGTGATGTGGGGCTGGACACCTGCAGCGTGTGTAGATGCCCATACTGCTGACAGTCTCACTTAGTTATCTCCAGTATGGATTCTAAAGTTGTCCCTGTGATCTGTGCAGGCAGGAAAGACAGGAGTCAGTTAAAATTGTGTTTCTTTCTTCTGTAGGGCTGTGTTGGGGATGGGAGGTGGGGTGTGCTGTCCCTAGCACAAGGGAGAAACAACCCTCCCCTCTATGCATCTGGACATGAGTATATTTAGGTAATGCATTAAAATCTCTACTTTGAAAGGTAA